ACAACCAACACGCTGATGCCCAGCGGCTTTGGCTATACGGCCATGGAGCAGCTGCAGCGCAACGGTCTGATGAAACCAACCGGAGCTGCGCTGCAGCAGAGCGCGGCGACGGCGGCACAGAATGCACAACAGACGACGCACAGATTGCAGCCAAATATTGGCGGTTATGTGACGCCGCAGGATCTGAATGCATTGGCGCACAATCGTCATATGCTCTAAGCTGGACAGGATCAGCAGCAGAGCAGCATAGAGAGCCGGAGAGGGAGAGAGAGAGAGCGAGAGAGAGATTTTGCTGCGTTGGCGGCAAATGAAAGATTCGTTTGTGGCCAGTGCAGCCAGCTAGCAGCTACTATTGCCTTCCACACACACACACACACACACCTGGAGAGAGAGTGCGAGCGAGAGAGAGAGCGAAAGAGAGAGGGAGAGCGACATTGAACTGCGAGGGAAACACTCCATGACAATTACACCTATAAATCAGCTCATTTTGCACATGTGCACAACCATTTTTTTTACACACGCACACCCAGCTACACACACACACACACACACACACACACACTCGCACAGCCCGGCCACTTGTATTTAAAAAAAAAAGGAACAATTTCTTTTCTTTATTTTTACTTTTTTTTAATTTGTCACGTTTAAGTTGCGAATTTGAATTTGTATTTGTAATTAATTTGTTTAATTTGAATTTTGTATTCGCGCCGGTTTTGAATTTTTTCTTTGTTGTTTCGTTGTGGCACACATTTTTTTGGCAGGCACTGTGCTAGGCTCTTGTAAGGCACATCGAGGTTAATGTATTTTACGCTCTAGTATTGTTTATTAACTATCTTATGCATAATTAACTTTATATACCTACCTACTACTACTATATACATACATTATATGTAACAAAAAACAAAAAAGAGATCAAGCTCAACGTTTATAAAAGGAACGATGCGTCCAGCTGATTTAAGAATATACATATATATATATATATATATCAAGATATATATATATCGTATAGATTCATGTATATGTTTATATATTATATGACAACTACTTTAAAAGAAACGCAAAACATAATGCTCAATTCATATTTCTCAGGTTGGCCTTTCTCTGATAAAGGTTTTATGTTCCATTTCAATTTAAAGGGTATTCAAGCATTGTGTCTGGCATCATATCCGATCGATGTTGAGACATGCCTATTTAAGCGCATCTCGATCTCTTTAAGAGCTAGCTATAGATATAGATATCTATGTTTTGGGTCAAGGATTCGGCCATAGAGCAAAGGCGGAGGAGTTTGTTTCGAAAGAAGGCGTGGCTGGTTCATAGCTCAGTTGAACTTAAACCAAACAAGAAACTACTTTGCGTCTGATCGTTCCTATGGCAGCTATAAAATTTGATATATTTATATATATATATATATATATATATATATATATATGTTTGTATGTATGTATGTGAGTGTATTAGTGTATGCATGCTTGTAAGTGTATGTATATCTATGCATGCCGACTTGTTTGTCGCTTTGCTGCAAATTCAAATTAAACGAATTTCTTCGAGCTGCTCTCCTCCTCGATTCTCAAGAATTCAAGTAGGCTCCGCACTTGTCCATGCTTAGCTAGTAGAGTGGTGCTTTTTTTTTTGTGTATTTTTTTTTTGTTGTTTTATTTTTGTTGTTTTTTTTTTTTTTTTTTGTTAATATGTATGTATGTAGGTAGGTATGTGTGTGTGTACATATGTATGTATGTACATATGTATGTCTGTGAAGATGTATGCATGTGTGTAAATATGTATGCATGTATGTACATATGTATGTATATTTGTACGTACATATGTGTGTATGTATGTTCACATGTATGTATGCATGCACATATGAATGTATGTATGTACGTACATATGTATGTATGTATGTACGTACATATGTATGCATGTATGCATGTATGTGTGTACACATGTATGTATGTACATATGTGTGTATGTATGTATGAACATATGTGTGTATGTATATATGTACATATGTATGTATACATGCATGCATGTATGTATGTATGTATGTAAAAATCTTGCAACAATTATTCTTGGTCAAAATTCATGTAGAAATGGTACCCACAAATATCTTTTATGGACATATGTAGGTCAAAATTTCCCAACTCCATGACTGCAACACTTGGATTTTCCATATTCTCCCTGTGAACCGATCAACGCCTAGTTTCTAGTTTCTAGTTTTTACAATATCAAAACATATATATATATATAGCTCTAGTTTTGGAACAAACATTTTGGGAAGTATTTACGGGGGGTTTTCTGGCTCTTGACTTAACCCAATGATGATCTCTGGCATTTTCCAGAACATTACGAATATGGGAATTGAAGCGCTTGACATCAATGATTATGATTATGATTATCTCTGGTATTTTCCGAGAACATATTGTTAAAAAGCAATTCCTACGAATTTTTCTTCAATTAATTAATGATGTTATCTTTTCATTTGAATTTCCAATCGAAAGCTGTGCATCCTGTAAATTCTGTGCCGCGGTAATTCCTTGAAATTTATAAGAATAAGACCTTTAATTGAACTCTTATTATAGCAAAGATTAACGACTTCTGCGTACTATAAATATATATATATATATATATATATATATATGACGCAAGGCCCGGACTTCTGTCGGGCGTGATTTAACTGGGGGAAAAGCAAATTAAGTAAGTTAAATTTATTTCAATCGAAACTGGGTAATAAATTGTGCCGCATTATTAGAGTATATATAATATATATATGTAATATATGCTCTATGTGCGTGCCAAACGTGATTTCTGCCGTTCTTAAGCCAGAGCATAGGGTATTTGCGCTTTGTCACATGCTTTGTAACGCCTGGGAAGAGGAAGAGCTCTCAGCTATTTATTTCTCAGATTATCTTAAATTACAAAATATTATCTTAAATAACTGTGAGAAAATGTCAAATTAATCAGTTTAACAAAGAAACAATATAATATAGCTCTCATAGAAAAAATGGGTTACAAATTGAATTCTTGCTTGAAAAAGTCTTTGTTTTTTTTTATGACTATAAATATAGCTGCTATAGGAGCAATCGGCGGTATATATATAGCTCATGTTTGCAAATTTTTCATAGACGGAAAGGGTATTTCAACTTCGTCAGACTAAGAAGTATTATAAATTTCTTGGTAGTCCTAGATATGGAGGAAGGGTATTCAAGCTTCGTCAGATCAAGAAGTATTCTTTGTATACCTATGCATACATATATATAGGAAGGGTATTCAAGCTTCGTCAGATCAATAAGTATTATCATATTCTTTGTATACCTATGTATACATATATATATAGGAAGGGTATTCAAGCTTCGTCAAACCAAGAAGTATTATCATATTCTCTGTATACATATATATAGGAAGGGTATTCAAGCTTCGTCAGAAGTATTATCATATTCTTTGTATAGCTATGTATACATATATATATAGAAATATATATACAGGAAGGGTATTCAAGCTTCGTCAGGCCCAAAGCTATTCGAATTTGGCTCGAAACAATTGTAAAGCCCATTTAAAGGGTATAATGGGGGCTTTATGCATATTATGCACAGAAGGGGCTTTGGCGAGTCGATCCAGCTCAAGTCTGAAATCTTTTTGTTATTTATTAAAACTGTAAAAGATTAAAAATATATAACAGATATATATATGTATAATATTGTAATTAAATGATGTTTTGCCAGAAATCGAAAGTTCGAAATGATTTGTGAATGAAAAAAATGATCAAAGTTGTTTACAAAAATGTCTAATAATACAATTTTTTGTCGAATTTCGAGTAAAATATTGATTGCGCCTTTAGGGAATCTGGCTTATCAAAATCGTCATGGTTTTTGAGAGAGAGAGCGAGCGAGAGAGAGAGAGAGAGAGCGAGCGAGGGCGAGATTAAATGGAAATTGGAATTACAGAAAATACAGCAGATCGTATTGCCGCCCGTATATATATATATATATATGCTCGTATTTATACCCTGAACCCATTCAAAATGGGTATAAGGGTATATTGTATTTGTGCAAAATCCAAATGTATGTAACAGGCAGAAGGAAGCATCTCCGAACCCATAAGGTATATATATTCTTGATCAGCATCAATAGCCGAGTCGATCTAGCCATGTCTGTCTGTCCGTCCTTCCGTCTGTCCTTCCGTCCGTCTGTCCTTCCGTCCGTCTGTCCTTCCGTCCGTCTGTCCTTCCGTCCGTCCGTCCTTCCGTCTGTCTGTCCTTCCGTCCGTCTGTCCTTCCGTCCGTCTGTCCTTCCGTCCGTCCGTCCTTCCGTCTGTCTGTCCTTCCGTCCGTCTGTCCTTCCGTCCGTCTGTCCTTCCGTCCGTCTGTCCGTCCGTCTGTCCGTCCTTCCTTCCGTCCGTCCGTCCTTCCATCCGTCCGTCCTTCCGTACGTCCTTCCGTCCGTCCGTCTGTCCTTCCGTCCTTCCGTCCGTCCGTCCGTCTGTCCTTCCGTCCGTCCGTCCGTCCGTCCGTCCGTCCGTCCGTCCTTCCGTCCGTCCGTCCTTCCGTCCATCCGTCCGTATGTATGAACGCTAGGATCACAGAACCTATAAGTTCCTAGTTTCCGCGCAGATCGAGTTTGTTTCCGACAATCGATAACTTACTTCGATAAATCGATAAAAATCGATATCGATAACCTGTTTTTGGCCAATTTTGGTAAATAATAAGAGCTAGAGTCAGCAAACTTGACATCTAGCTTCTAAATAAGAATATATATATGCACTTGATGTTGGTAGAAGAGGGTTGAGGGTATCGCCTAGTCGGGAGCACCCGACTAGAACCTCTTGCTTGATGTACATACATTTCAAGTGATTACGAGCTGCGTTTCGAGCGTGTAGTTGAAAATAAACGCGGACATTGACGGACGTTCCATGCGCTCGACTCGCACATCATTCAAATTTGTATACTATATATTATATATATTGTGTATATAGTCGGGGGTAGCTGTTATCGAGATCAGGTCCAGGCAATGCTCGCGGCCCGGCTGCGTCTTGTACTGGTGTTTGTCGCGTGCCTGGCCTGGGCACAGTGCCTGGCAAAAGATGCCGCACACCTGGACACAGTGCGCGTGCAGGTGTCCCGCTTGGATTTGCGCGCCGGCGATGCGTACAATGTGAGCTGTTCGTTTGACAAGCTGATATCGCTGCAGGCGCTGTGCGAGGGCGACGGCATCGATAGCATCTATATGCAGACGCGCCGCAATGCGAATCTGAGCGTGCGCATACTTAATGCGACCACTGTTTACCATGAACAGCTGTCGGCACAGCCCAAGCATCTGGGCGCCTACAGCTACGAGTGCCTGTGCCATGGCCAGACGCTCGGCTCCGCCCGTTTCATGGTGGGCGTCCGGCTGCAGGTGCAGGATTTTGGCTGTCGCTTCCACGGAGAAGAGGCTGGCGGGCAGCTCAACTGCAGCTTTAGCCGGCCGCCATATAGCCGGCAGGTGGACATGACGACCAGCTATTGGCTGCGGCATCGCGACAAGGAGCTCGAGTGTCGAGCGCACAGCGCCAACGCGGAGCTGATGCACTGCAGCATTGGGCATACGGACTTTGACAGATTCGCCGACTTCTATGACCTGACGCTGAGCATGCGCGATCGGCTGCCGTTGCAGCCGCTGCAGCAGCAGCATTTCCGGCTGAGCCGGGCGCAGTGCATCCAGCTGCTGCCGGCGGGCACAAATGCCACCGTAACGCATCTGAACAGCACGGCGCTGTGCCTGGCCTGGCGTGACAGCGATGGCTCCAATCACATTGGCTACCACATCGACTGGAAGATGCAGCTGCTGCCAGCGGAGCTCACCGGCTGGCGCTGGCAGCAGCCGCATTTGCAGCAGCACAACTCGATCTGGCAGGAAACCTGCCTGACCCATTTGCCGTATCCCTACTACAACTATACGCTGCTTCTCTGGCGGCGCTACAATGACAGCGATGCCCACTGGAGCGAGCCGTTCGAGTATACGTTTCGCACGATGGCCGCGCTGCCGGCACGTCCGCCCGCCGTCTGGCCGACGGGCTATCATCGCAATCCCCAGCAGCCGGACGAGCTGCGCGTCTACTGGCAGCAGCTGGGCAAGCTGGAGCAGAATGGTCCACTGTTCGACTACCATGTGCACGTGCTCAGGGCCAGCGACGACCAGCATGTCAAGTGAGTCAGCTTTCCGAACAATCGTGAACAGTCCTTATCGGGCAGCTTGCGTTGCCTCTACACTGCACGAAATTCTTGCTACTCTTTCGTTCCGTGTGGTTAAAAGCAAGTCTTCCAGAGATTTGCCCTGCAATCTTCCCAAAGATCGCACTCTAAGCTCCGAAGTTAAGCTAGAATCCATGCATAGGAAAATTCTACGTGTAGGGTATCTACTAGTCGAGCACAGAAAACGAACTGAAAACCTATCTCGAAAATCAATTATAATAATAAATAGAATCCTTTTCCCCTACATCGAGTGGGATAGGGAAATTTTGGGTACAGGGTATCTACTAGTCGAGCACAGAAAATGAACAGAAAACGTATCTCGATAATAAATTATAATAATAAATAGAATCCTTTTCCCCTACATCGAGTGGGATATGGAAATTCTGGGTGCAGGGTATCTACTAGTCGAGCACTGAAAATTAAAAAAAACCTATAAAAAAGAAATAATAATAATAATAAATAGAATCCATTTCCCCAATATCGAGTGGGATAGGGAAATTCTGGGTGCAGGGTATCTACTAGTCGAGCACTGAAACTGAACTGAAAACCTATTCCGAAAATAAATAATACAAATAAATATAAAAACAAATAGGGCCTTTCCGTAATTAATCATGAATTACGTGCCAATTCACGCTCGCAAAACGGCACGTAATATTAGATGAATTTCATGAGGCAACGGGCGTGCCCGGCTAGCGAATACCCTGCACCTACTTCTTATTTGTATACACAATTCTAGAAGCTACATATTAATTTCGACGATTCTGGCTAAGATATTTCTAACCTAAGAGATTTGCTAAAAAAAAAATAGAATTTCGATTAATACGATTCGATAACGATTAACGATTTTTTATCGATTGCCTGGCAAACGGGCTAAGCTATCGATTGTCGGGCAAAAATATCTTGCACAAAATCATCATACCCGGCTGAGCACATTTGCGAATACAGGGTATCAATTTGCATTCGAACCAATCAATTAATCGATTTGCCAGGGCTGCAAGCTCGCAATTCGAATGCGAACTGGTTCGGTTCACGGCGTTCGAATCGGTTCGCAAATGAATATAGAATATAATATATATATTTGTTGCAGGCAGGCAGAGACTGCGATCGAGTCGAATATGGCCATCATCCGGAATCTGGAGCCCTCCAAGGAAAGCTACATAGTCGTGATACACAGTCGGAACGCGATCGGACTGTCGACGAACAACAGCCAGCTACGGATACCGGAGCTGGTGCAGCCCGGCAAGCGTATACCCAGGAACGTGAACAGATCAAAAATGGCGGGCAGCTTGAGCTGGGAGCCGCCGGAGCAGTCCGACGATCTGCTCGGCTATACGGTCTACTGGTGCAGCACGAATGTGACGGATCGCAGCCATTGCAACGAGACGCTGGCCATTGAGTCCATGGAGCTGCTGCTGCCCACCAGTTGCTACTACGGGAACGCCAGGCTGCGCCTGGACGCGTACGAGTGGGGCGTCTCGGCCAATTATGGTCCGCATAGCACCGGCAGCGGCGGCATCTACTGGCTGGAATGGCATTATGGCACGCTGCTCCTCAGCCCAAATCCTTCAGCTAAAGTCGACTGGATGCACAATCTCCAGGGCATTGTTGCTCTGGTCGTGCTTGGCGTCTTCATATACATGATTGTGCGCAAATTTCGTACCATGTCCGACATTGATGTCGTTCTGCCCGTCGGCGTGGACAGCTGCCCGCCGCAGCAGCAGGGGGAGCAGGGGGAGCGGGATCAGCTGCAGTTGCGGGAGCAGCTGCTGCCGCCCAGCAAACGGCCGGAGCAGCTGCCGCCGAGCATCATGGCAGAGACCAGCATTGGCGCCGACTGTGCCCTGCTTGTGCAGCTGCCAGCCGTGCTCCATGGCAACTTCAAGCCGCTGAACGTGATGCTACCCCAAACGGGCTATGTGCCCATCCAGTTGGCGTCACGCACCGAAGCTTTGCCCGCGGCGGAGCTTGGTTCCGTGCCGCTCAAGCAGCCGGCCTCGGCCCGTGTCGACTTCGCCTCCAGCTACATACGGATGCAGCCCAGGCAGACGCCGCCGGACACGGCCTATGTGACGCCTCCAAGAGCATACAGATAATGTCCCATATTATCGCGGGAACATCTTTACGCTAAAAGTACGCTCGATCCGATTTTGATAACAAACTGAGCTCAACTCCAGACGCCCATCATTCCGGGCTCTCCAGATAGTTTGTTAAGCGAGAGACACTCTCTCTCTCTCTTTCGCTCTCTATATCGCTCTCTCCCTGTCCCACTTACTCCCACTCTCCCTGTCCCTCTCTCGCTTGCACTCTGCTATTCTTTCTGTCCCTCTCTCTCTCTTTCTCTCTCCCTATAATTCTATCTTTCCTTCTTTTTCTGCCTTACCTTCTCTGTCTCTCTCCCTTCCTCCCTTCCTCTCTCTCTCTCTCTCTCTCTTTCTTTCGCTCTCTATATCGCTCTCTCCCTGTCTCACTTACTCTCATTCTCCCTGTCCCTCTCTCGCTTGCTCTCTGCCATTCCTTCTATCCCTCTCTCTCTCTCTCTTTCTCTCTCCCTATCCCTCTCTCTCTTTCCTACTTTTCATGCCTTACCTTCTCTCTCTCTCTCTCTCTTTCGCTCTCTATATCGCTCTCTCCCTGTCCCACTTACTCTCACTCTCCCTGTCCTTCTCTCGCTTGCTTTCTGCCATTCTGTCTGTCCCTCTCTCTCCCTCTCTCTCTCTCTCTCTGTTTTCGAATATCGAACTACAGTTCGTCAAATATGTATATGCCCCGCACTTGTATATAGAAACATTGTGTTTAACATTTATATTTATTTATTAACGTGATTAATTATTATACAAAAAAAAAAATAATAATAATAATAATAAATGATATAATAATACAAAAGGCAGGGAGTGCTAGCTACTAAGGTCATCTATATTTATTATATTGTTTAGTCAAAATATTGTTTTAAGAACTTTAACTAAAAATTGCTGCGAAACATAACCTCACATATTGAAAAATATAGCTAAAAAATAAAAACGTAAGCTTATTTCTTGTTAGATTTAACAATTTAATAATATTTAGCACTAAAAAAAAAAAAAAACTAAAAGAAAACTTGACAAGATTTCTGTTGCAAGATTTTGACCTCCATTGAGGTTAGGTTTTTTTTTTAAAGTAGAATTGAATGTTTTTTTAACAAAATTTGTTTTTAATCCTCTTAATAAGCCTCTATTATAAAATAATGCATAAGGTCGAGATCCGCACAAGGATTCCAAATCTTTCCTTTTCCAAAGTTTCATTTCTGGATAGAACTTAAGTAGAACTTTTTTTTTAAGTGTAAATTGTAATTCGAATAAATGGAAATTCTTAAATTGTGTTTGTAGCAAATATATAGATATATATATAGATAATCGTTCGGTTTTCCAAATAATACAATTTATTTTATATATCATCTTTTATCATATCTGCTAAACAATCATTTTGTACTAAGGCATATAAGTATTATATGTATATGTATATATGTATGTATATATATATGTGTGTGTGTGTGTGTGTGTGTGTGTGTGTTAGTGTATGCATGCATGTTTGTTTTCTAATACGAAACGCAGACGAAGCTTATTTGTCGCTTTGCTGCAAATTTAAATAAAACGCATTTTTTCAAAGTGCTCTCCTCCTCGATTCTCAAGAATTCAAGTAGGCTCCGTCGTTTTTCATGCTTAGCTAGTAGAGTAGTATTTTTTTTTTTTGGTATTTTTGTATTTTTGTTGTTGTTTTTTTTTGTGTTAATATGTATGTATGTATGTATGTATGTATGTATGTATGTATGTATGTATGTATGTATGTATGTATGTAGTTATGCATGTATGTATGTATGTATGTATGTATGTATGTATGTAGTTATGCATGTATGTATGTATGTATGTATGTATGTATGTATGTATGTATGTATGTATGTAGTTATGCATGTATGTATGTATGTATGTATATATGTATGTATGTATGTACATATGTACATATGTATGCATGCATGCATGTACGCATGCAAGTACGCATGCATGCACGCATGCATGCATGCATGCTATGTATGTAAATGTTTATATATGTATGCATGTGTGTATGTATGATTGTTTTTCTACAAAATGCAGAACGTGTTTCGAGCCATAATCAAATTGTTTTCCCAGTTCTGTAAAATATATGTATATTCCATCGGCCCATAAAAATAATCTTGATCAGTTCAGTTGTTTTCGTTGGAGCTTGTTCGTTTCGAGATTTGGTTCATAATTCAAAAACAAACGATTCGAATAACGGATTCGAGCTGGCTTCCAGTGTTGGTTAACAGAGTTCAGAACTAGAAAAGTCCCTAGAAAGTTCCCTATTAAAAAATTTCAAAACAGGCGCCAAGTTTTTATGTAGTCCAAATACAATAAATTTAATTTAAAAAAAAACCAAAATAAGAATTAACCGAAAGCAAAGAAAAAAAGGGCGTATGCATAAAGAAATATATATATATAGAGATGTATATATAAAAATATATTTAGCTATAGTAAGTGTAAGGTAAGTCCATGACCAAGTCGAATCCGGGCCGAGCCGGGCGGGGCGTGGCGCACTCAGAGATTGGATGTGCTCGGATTGGGGCCGTGCCATTTGTAGGATCCGTAATAGATGAAGTTATTCTGCTGGCATTTGCGATCGGCCTCCTTGGGTCCGCGGGAGCCGTACTGGTATGGAATCGATGGCGTCTGCTCGCGCTCGATCTTGTGCAGAATGGGCGTAAAGATGCGCCACGCCTCGCGCAGCTCATCGGAGCGAACGAAATGCATTTGAGAGCCGCAAAACACGTCCAGAATGAGACGCTCATAGGCATCCGGCAGATAGGAGTGCTTGTAGCGATGCTCGTAGGTCAGATCCAGTTCGGTCTCCTCGATGTCAAAGGTGATGCCCGGACTTTTGGTCATCATCTTGAAGTAGAGCGCCTCGCCGGGCTGGACGCGTATGACCAGTTCGTTGCGCTTGGTGCTGCCCTCGAATATGTCGCCGGGCACATCCTGATACTGGATGCGCACCTCGGCCTTGCGTTCGTTCAGCGCCTTGCCGCAGCGCAAAATGAACGGCACATCCTGCCAGCGTTCGTTGTTTATCTTGATGACGGCCATTGCATAGGTGGGCGTTGTGGACGTATCGCTGACCGTCGGATCGTCCAGATAGCCGGTGCGCTCCTCCTCCGTTTTGCCATTGGGATTGCCCACATACTGGCCGAGCACCATGTCGCTCAGCTGCAGCGGCTGGATGCACTTGAGCACCTTGACCTTCTCGTCACGTATATCGTCCGGATGGCAGCTGCACGGCTTCTCCATGGCCACCAGCGAAAGTATCTGCAGCAGATGATTCTGCATTACATCACGTATGATGCCGAACTCATCAAAGTAGCCGCCGCGTCCCTGGGTACCGAATGGTTCCTTGAATGTTATCAGCACGGAGGCGATGTTCTCCCGATTCCAAGTCGAGCTGAGTATCTTGTTGCCGAAGCGTATCGTCATCAGATTCTGGACCATCTCCTTGCCCAAATAGTGATCGATGCGATACAGTTGCTCCTCCTCGAACAGACTAGCCAGATGATCGCTCAGCGCCTTCGAGCTGACATCGTCCCGCCCGAAGGGCTTCTCCACAATCACGCGATTCCAGCCCCTGCCAAGAGAGAGAGAGAGAGGTGAAGATTATCTCTGGAGCGTGCCTCGCTGGAGCGTACTTACCGCGTGGACATGCATATGTTCTTGATGTTCAGCGTCACCTGATTGTAGACGGTCGGCGGCAGGGCCAAGTAGAAGATGCGATTCGCCCTGCAACCGTGCTCGATCTTCTCCAGCTGCTGGCTGAGCAGCTGGTAGCCAGTGGACACATCATACGGACCGGCCACATAGTCGTTCAGGCTCCAGAATTCATTATATTTCGCCTGCTCATCGGCTTGCACCTGCATTGCGTAGAAGAAGTTACGCAAATTTGGGGTAAGTGCTGGTTCAAACCCGCCATAAATTATTACATTCCTTCTATTTACAAACTTAAATCACATTATTTTCAAAGAACCCGAAAAACCAGGTTCACGAACCGAATCGAATCTCAATGCGATTAGTTCCAACCGTGAACCGAATCAGTCGTCGTCGTTTTTTTTTTGAGCTTGCAGCCCTGGCGCGAGCCAGTGCTGCCCATTTTCATATTGATCAGTCGAATCTATGTCGAATTAGAAAAAAAAAACTGCAACGTACCTTCATGTATGTGTGACAATTGGCCTTCAGCTCGTCGAGGGTCAGCTTGGAGCGCGCATAGCCGCAGATTTTGGTCGGCTTGGGCAGCAGATCGTCGCGATATAGCCACCATAATGTCGGATAGATTTTCTTCTTGGCCAGATCGCCCTGTGCACGGCATAAAACCGGAATTAAGACGCAATCAGATGGAGATATTATGGGCAGGACTTACCGAGGCGCCAAAGACGACAAAGGTGTGCGGCAGCTTGCCATCGAACTGGGTGCCCTCGCATATCATCGTGGAGCAGTTGAGGCTCTGGATGATCCGGTCCAGATGGCCGCTGGACTGCGAACTGTTATGCTCTAAAAAGGAGATCAGGAAAAGGAGATGAACTAACTGGAATCGTGCTCAGACTCGGACTCAATCTCAGACTCAATCTCAGACTCAATCTCGGACTCAATCTCGGACTCAATCTCGGGCTCAATCTCAGACTCAATCTCAGACTCAATCTCGGACTCAATCTCCGACTCAATCTCAGACTCAATCTCTGGCTCAATCTCGGACTCAATGTGGGGCTCTTCCTGCTCGGATATTGGACTCGATGTGGAGGTCAGCTCTATGTCGTGTCGTTCGATGCGCTTCCAGATGTGTAATAAATAGCTTGACTTTCAGCCGACTATATCTTGGCCCTTAGCTCATACCTGTATGCCAGATAAGTGCACCAATACACCAATACAAGTATATATAAGTATATATATATATATATATACATATATCTGTTGGCAATTACAGCTGAAAGTCGAAGCCCGAACCGAGACGCAAATCGTTCGGTTATTTTTGTTTGTTTTTTTCTATCTATCTATTTCTTTTCAATCGAAAACTGCACAAAATGCTCAAAAGTGCACAGACTCGAGCAGAGGTAGTACGTGCTTCAAGATTTCCACAATTGATAATATTGACAACAAAACAAAAACAATTGTCTAATGCAAAAACTAAACAACAAATTTGTTCAAGTTCAAGTTTAGTGCAAATCGCAAGATCAGATAGTTAGGATCGTCGCTGGGGCAACAAAATGAAACTCTATTTTAAAGGTAAGTTCTATTGTAAACCTTTTTTTTTCATCAGAATTTGTCGATCTAACGTGCTACAATTCCAATTTCAAGAAAAATATATATATAAATTTTATAGCTCGAAAAATAACGAAAGGCAATTTGATTATAATCGAAACAGAAACTCATTATTAAATTCCTTAAATATTTTTTTTTTAAATTTTTAAGCTAATTTTTGCATATTTTTCCTAATAGTATTACCCATTTTATGCATTTTGTTTTTTTTTTCTCTTTTTCACAATTTGGCAACACTTTTCAGAGCGCGTTCGAGTGATAACTGTAATTGCAACAGCGATATGATGAATGAATATAAGTATGTCTGATCAGTTTGTTATTGTTTTTCACATTTTTAACTGTCATTTGTTGTTGTTCTGTTTATAGCTCAGCTCCTGCGCAGATGACTCAGCATTGTGTTTGGCATTGGAGTTGACAAGGCATTGGAGCACAGTTTGAAAGGCTTTTAATGCACGCACACGCACACGCACACGCATACGCATACGCATATGCATACGTATGCACATGCACACATACAGCTGTCGGTATGTAAACCATTTAAATATGTGTACATTTTCAATGTCATTAACATTGGCTAATTCTCAATGCTATTGCGCGCTCTTTACCTCTCCCACTCTCCCGCTCTCTTTCTGTTCTCAACTTTAACTTGAAAGGTTAACATTGGCGCACTAAGCTTTGGAGTGAATGTGAATAACAGCAGCAGCAGCAGCAACAACAACAACAGAGGGAACAGCAGATAATTGCGGAGTGAGGTAAAGTGATTGGAATTGCGATAAGCTGCCGCCACTTTGTAGGTGACCCTTTTGGCTGAAGAATACAATTTGAAGGGCGTTCTCTCCTGCTCTCTCTCTCTCTCACACACGCACACAATGTGTCGTTTACCACCTTTAACAGAAACCCACTGCCCTGCAAGCAATTGTCACACACACACACACACACACGGACACGCTATTGCATTCATTGAGGATCGCATATCGTAAGCGTATATCGTATTTGACCAGCTACTTACCCATTTTGAACATGGATGGCTCTGCTCTGTTAGCTGAGTGAAATGATTTGTTTATATATGTTTGTATATATTTTGTAATTTTAGCAAATAAGACAAATAATGACGCTTGCTGTGTTTGTGTGTTTACTCGGGTTGCGGCAATTAAGGCTAAAACAATTTGTCAAGCTTTCGACCGATAATTTAAATAAAGGTCAAGTCTACAAAATTGTGATTTCAGCTTTGGTTGGCAACACGCACACACACACACACACACACGCACACAGCTGCACTTGCACGCAAGCGCAACGTGAACGAGCTTTTTATACGTATATATATATATATATATATATATTTATTTTTTGTCTTGTGTTGTTATTTTATACCACGTCGTGTTGGTTGTTTGAAAGTGTTTTTGATTTATTTATTTAAGCGCCGCCAGAGCCCTCCAAAAGAAACGATATGTAGCTTAACACGATCGCAGCGCGAATGCGCCAAAGCAAATGTTCAAAGCGCACATGAAGCAGCGGCGGCAATGGGCAATGCCAGCGGCAATAACAACAACAACAACAACAATACAAGCGCACGCCTTGTAAAAACAACAACCACGAAAGAAAAAAACAACAACAACAAAGAAGAAGAAGAAGAGAGCGCACAAAACTTTTGATATTTTCAGTTTGAATGCGGCAGTTGCGGCCAATGTGCCGGTTCTCTGTTGTGCATAACAGCACACACACACACACACACACACACACATGCGCGCGCGCTCCCAAAACACACACACATACTGAGACAAACGCCCACACACAGTGTCAGTGTATGCCAACTCATTCTCAAATTGAGAGCCGTTGTGTGGCCAGTGTTGCCACAAAGCATAAACAACAAAAATGCTTTTCAAATTGTTAAATACGCCCATTCAGCCGAGTCATGTTTGTGATTACATTTACATGAACCTAGACCTGGCAAATACATGGGTATAAACAACAGTTGCATAATGCGCTCACCTGTGCCACACAGCGCAAGCTCAAAATGATAAGCTCAAATGCTTATAATTTGTTTGAATTGAATGTAAACAATCGCGAATAGTGGCATGCTTGAATTCGAACTGTAATTTTTACTGTTGTTTGTTCCGCAAACTGTTGGAACAGCCCTCTGTCATCTGTGAGAAATATGATTACCACCAACAGAGGATTTTTAAAGGTCTTCTTCAAAGCTGGTGATTCACCAATACATGTGTGCATGACTCGGCATATGCATACGCTTGCGTGTGTGTGTGTGTGTGTGTTGTGTGTACTGTTATCAGTGACTCGCCGCGAATCCATCAACAGGTGAATGAATTGAACATATGTAAACGCAAAGCCGACAGGTAAATCGCAAACACTTGGCTTATCGTGTAACGGAAACTGATAATGATGATAAAATGATTGTGCGTACAGTAAACACTCGCCTAACGAACGTATTCGAGAATATATTTGAATCAATAAAGAGAAGATTTTGTTGTGTGTTTTTTTTATTACGAAAATTGAGCTTTAAATTGAAATGCTGAAAAATAGACAATTTCGCAATTTGTTGTTAAACAATTTCGATTCGTTTATCTACAGTCATTTGTATTTGTTGATTTGCTATTTTGTATTATATTCGAGCGGACATCATCTACCTGAGCGGTAATCTAATGGTAGGTAACTGAGCAGGTGTCCGTCCGTTCATTCTAATTGGTTCGATTTCGGCTAGTTTATTTAAAATGCCAATCGTTTTGTCTATTATAATGCATATCGAAATAGTTCTTTGATTTATATTTACAATCAAACTAGAAATAAACGTTGAGAACATAATAAAATTACAATAATTTTAGCACGATTTGTGTAGGACAAGAGTCTAAAGCCGCGTTTACATATACATATATACATATATATGTGTGTGTGTATATATATATATATATAACTATATATATTTGTGTATATAGCACATGCAGTTAACACATATTACAATTTTATTGTATCATTTGTTGTTGTTGTTGTTGTTGCTGGAAAATTCGACTTGTTCGACTTGGTTTGTTCCACGTCCTATTGGTAGACATATGCATGTTGACATAAATAATCGATCTGCTCATCATATATACAAATCTTAAAGTCTCGATCTCGATCTCGATATCTATGGTCAGTGGAGCGCAGGTGATTGTTTGGACATGTACCGTTAACCGACCTCCTCGGCGCTGTCAGTAAAAGAGTACAGAGTGCAGAATTACTCGATTTCTTCGCTCCTCAAATTCCTGTATCATTTCATCGATATCATTATCGATATCATTCGATTTCGCCATCTGCAAAGTGACCAACGCACCAAAAAAAAAACCAAAAAAAAAAACATGGGGCAGCATTAACTAAGCAACATCTGTTTGAAATCTGGCGTGTTTTGCCATTTAATGAATTTACCAAATTGAGCATGTCCGTTATTAGAAATGCGCCCATCAGTGCATCCTCCGCATTGTCAACAACATCGACATTTAGCACATGTACGGGCCGATTATCCACCGAGTCCATCGATTCCATGTGCATCACAACCAAATCGTAAACACGCTCCTCTACGGTTATTATAATATCAAATTGCTCTTTGGTTTCTTGAAAGCGTTCCGGGCATTTTTTGATGCGCCGATTCCGGTCCAGCATGTGCAGCAGACCGTTCTGTGTATAACTGTAACGTTTGTCGGCAAAAGATCAACATGATGAATTTGGCATTGTTCGCATTTAAATGCACGCACTTACAATTCTTTGTCCTTTGACTCTAGGTCACGGTAGATTTCCTCATAGCTGGTACCAAATTCGTAAACGTTGGGCTTGTCAAATGCGAGACCGGGCAGCTTGACCCGTTCACCGGTGCCGTAGGAGCGCACATTGAAGCCCTTTTTAGCGAGAAAATTGTGCGCCTCCATGGAGCGATTCATGTTCGATGAACAGACCACAGCAACGGACAATTTGCTCGGGTCAGTCATTGTTATTTGGCAGTGAAAATTATTACGTTATAAACCAGTAAAAATACGACTTAGATATTAACAACGGAATGACGATGGTCTTCGTCAATATTATTACAATGCGTGAGGTAAGGCGATAGACGGCCAATATATAATGGCGGTCGGCCGATAAATGCAACAGTGCTGCCCAACCAAACAATTTTGTTTCGGCTCGATTCGATAGGTGTGACCGCATGTGACACTGACAATTTTGTATCGATATATACTCACAACAGTTGTGGCAACGCCAACAACTTGTTTGACTGTTAAAAAAGCGTTACAAATATGAAAAACATGTCAAATGCAACCGTTAAATATTTTACTCGCCTATTTCAATTGTACTTTAGCAAAAAACTATGAAAAACAAATCAAAATATTATACAGCAAAGAAATAGAAAGATAAGTTTTAGTTGTTTAAAATTTTCATTATGAAAATCTATACGTATATTTGTATGTACATGTGCGATGAATGTTTGGTATGCAAGTTGAAGTAGACACAGAATGTTGTTATGTGGCAAGTTGCTACAGCAACAACCAGACGCCGAGAGCTCCCTAGCTAATGCAAAAGAGCGCACGCCCTGTGCCCCATCCAGATCCAGCCGGAACTCGTGGAATGCGGCTTAGCAAGTTGAAGCTACCGCTGCCGCTGCTTGTGGCACACCAACACGCGCTCTGTTTGCCTATACCTGGGACACACACACGCACACACACGCGCACACAGCTACAATTGCAGATGTGCAACATAGACAGAGCGCCGATCAGGTTCAGGTTATTTGCTTGTCGCACAGTGCATCAACATTCATTTAATTTTGTTTTATTTTTTGACTTTGAGTTGCATTTGGTAAATAATTGCAATTGTTAACAGTCAAATCGTTAACCATCTAAACGGTCACACTTGCAGTTATGTATATTCGAACGATCTGGCACGTTTGCACCGTCACAGTATGCTGCCAAGCAAGTGGCGCATGTGTACCACGGTGCGGCGGTGCTGTTTGTTATTTAAGCGTCAGCCTTGCGTTCGCTCTATCTCTCGCCCAGTGTCTGTGTGCGCGTGTGACTGTGCGTATGTGTGTGTGTGTGCGTTGCCCTGTTAACTGGTTATGCGAATAGTGGACGCAGCAGCCCCTGCGGCTAGAACCAACGGCTGATGCCAACTGCGGAGCTGGCAACGCCGACTGATAGTCGTTCTTTGTCACTTGATCGCTCTCATCGTTCACTTGTCGCACGCACACATACACTCACTCGCTCTCTCTCACACACACACACACAGAGACAGCGATGGCAGCCAGACTCTCCGCTTGGCCGTTTTGTTTTGCTCTGGCGTCCAGTTGCTGCTCGTGCCTCAAACCCGCCGCGTCGCGCTTCGTAACAACGTCTCTTGGCCAGAAAAATGCCGCTGCTGTGGCCCAGCTTGGCCTAGACCCGTTCATCGATATACATTTTCATTTCAACATATTAAGTTTTTGGCATTTATTTTTTTTAATTAACTTAGCCATGGCTATGCAAATGTCACAGGCGCCGCACGGAAATTAAAGCAAGAAAAAGGCCAACAACAAAAATATATAACAAAACTAACAAAAAGGTAAACTTGTTTAACAACTTGCATTGCAGCGCCCCAAACAGTGTTTACACACATACATAAATATGTACACACACACACATACATACATATTTGTATATGTTTTTTTTTTCGGTGTTTTGTGCATGTGCCAAATTGCAAGGCAATCAAAAATTTCGCCTCAACTCATCTGTGGATTCGTGTAAAACAACAAAACGAAGAAAATACTCTTCTGTGCAGTTGGTCGCACTTGCAATACCCTTGCCGTGCAGAAAATACATATGTTATATTGCTAGTGTATATGCAGTTATTAACCAGGGTTGCAGGCTCGACAACAATTTGTCCTTGGTTCGGTTCACGGTTCGCGTGCAACCTTGCCGCATCAGCGTTGCCAGACGCCGCTTAAAAAACGGCAGCCTAGTACGCTGTTTAACAAAAAGAAGCTAAAAAAAAAAAAGTAGCTGGACTAGCTTTAAAATTTGTTATATATATACATTTTAGCTTTAAATGTTAGCTGTTTGCGGCTGCTGATCGCTGAAAATGCTGAACTTTTTGCTGAATATGATTCCGATTGGGTTTTCAACTTCGATATAACATAATACGAACCACGATGTAGTTAAAGAGTATTTCAGACTTTTACCTTTACCTTTATCATAAAGTAGTTAAGAGAGTGTTCGTTCAATTTAGTTTTTTTTTTTCTGGAGTTTTCCAAAGAAGAGCTTGTCGAGAACAAATTGTAATACCCATTGGCAGGGTATTAGCGAAGACAACGAACTGGCTTTGGTCAGCTAAAAATTGGTGCTTAATTAATTTGAATTGTGTTTTCCACATAAGTTCGCCAAGGATAATTTCGGTTAAGTAAATCTAAAGTATGCCAAGTCAGCGCAGATTTAAATATGGTTCGCTTGGGCAACTTGACTCTACGTGTTTTTAGCCACTTAATTCTTGGAGGCAATCGCCAGCTCTAGCTGAGCGTGCGAATGGTTCTGCATTCAGTACGTCTATCTAAGTATTTGAGCCTAGCCTGCCTGGCTGCATGTTAAAAAACGCTAAAGAAAGAAATTAAAACGGTGGTAAAGTGGGCAATAACTCAGTTAAATGGCGATCCTCTGTCTATGAGACTCGAAGTTATCGGGCAACTAGTTGGAGGCCTTACTTGAATAAACTAATTTTCATATTTATTCTGTTGAGGCCTATTCCACCCATTTTCAGAATTTTCAAAATAGGTTTAAATTCAAGGTTTTTTGCAAATTTCACAAGCAGTTGCGGATTTTGCGAAAAGCGTGAAAAGCGACACAAATCAATTTTCACGTAGATCTTTGAAAATATGAAAAGTAGGATGAAGATAGTAAAGTTTCTTAACGCCAAAAAACATCAACATAAGGTGACTACAATAAAATTATAAGCTGTCCAGCTCTTGCGGTGTGGTTCGTTTGTCACCAATCAGTCATTCAGTCAGTCAATCTGACAGTCAGTCCGTCAATCAAGCAATCAATCAGTCAGAGTTAGTCTGTCGATCAGACAGTCAGTCGATCAGACAGTCAGCTCGTCAAGCAGACACTCAGATAGCAAGTCCGTCGATCAGTCAATCAACCAGTCAGTCCTTCAATCAGACAGTCACACAGTAAGTCCGTCGATCAGACAGTCGATCTTTAGTCACTTAGTCAGTCAATCAAAGAATCAGTCCGTCAATCAGTCAGTAAGTCAGTCAATCTTAAGTCAGTTAGTCAGTCAATCTAAGAGTCAGTCCGTCAATCAGCCAGTCAATCTTTAGACATTTAATCAGTCAATCTGTCAGTCAGTCCTTCAATCAGTCAATTAATCGATCAGTCACATCATCAATCAGACAGTCAGTGGATCAAACTGACAGTCAATCAGTCAGTAAGTCAGTCAATCTTTAGACATTTAATCAGTCAGTCCGTCAATCAATCGATCAGTCACACCATCAATCAGACAGTCAGTCGATCAAACTGACAGTCAATCAGTCAGTAGGTCAGTCAATCTTTAGTCAGTTAGTCAGTCAATCAAAGAGTCAGTCCGTCAATCAGTCAATCAATCGATCAGTTAGACCATCAATCAGACAGTCAGTTGATCAAACTAACAGTTAGTCAGTTTGTCAGTCAGTCAATCAGTTATTCAGTCGATCAGTCAATCACGCAGTTTATATATAGTATATCGAATATTATCGTCATATAATTAGTAGTTTTCTTATTAGTATTAGTAATATAATTATAAATATAAATAATTATTGTTTTATTTCTATAAATATCGTTTCAGTTGCATAGACACCGCGGCACAAGGCAATCATTATGTGAACCACCCGTGGAACTGCGAGACAGACTTACCCAGGCAGCAGCAGCAGGAGCAGGAGCAGGATCAGTTGCAGGTGTCATCGGCAGCAAAACATAGCAGTTGGAGGAGGAAGAAGCAGAGCAAGGCAGGGCCTAACTGGCTGGACAGGAAATGCTGAAGCACGCCTCGAATGCGAGCACGGCAACTGCCGCGGCGCCCGTCAACGGCCAGCTGCTGCGCACGGCCAACGGCGGCAGCAACAGCAACAACAACAACAACAACAACAATAGCAGCAGCAGCAGCAGCAGCAATCCACCCTCAGCGTCGGCGGCAACAACAACAACAGCAGCAGCAGCAACAACAAACGCCACCAGCCCCGTGCCGGGTGCAGTCGCAGTCGCAGCAGCAGCGGCAGCGGCGGGCGCTTCACCAACACCGGCAGCAGCTGCCGTTGCGAGCACCGCACGCAATATACACCTGCGACCGCCGCAGCCGCTCAACATAACCGCGCTGAATGCGTCCGCGTGCAGCGCAACGCTGCTGAACGGTGCGTTGCGTGCGGGCGGGGGCGGTGGTTCGACGCTGCTGAATATTGCAACGGCGCCGATGAAACCGTTAACGCCGCTGACGCCCAACGGTAATTGCAACGGTAATAGTTTGCATCATCACACGTATACGAACCAGCATATGTTGGCCAGCAGCAGCAGCCATCAGCAGCAGCAGCAGCATCCACTGCACAACAACAACAACAACAGCAATATGAACAACAATAACAACAATATGCACAATTATAGCCACTGCAACAATTTGGGCATTAATCCAAATTCTGTGCTGCAGGCGAGCGTCAAGCCCACAAAACATGGCCCGGGACCGCGCGAAGTGCTGACCAGTCTGGGTCTGCTCTGTTTGGGTGAGTGGCAGCACTTTTGCTTTTTCGCATTTATTGGCGCCATTTTCTCTGGCAGCGCTGCCATCTAATAGTTCGTTCGGCTAAGCTCGGCTATCGCAGTTGCGCTTAACTTACAAGAGAAATTCACTGTTTATTTTTTTACCTTCTGATGTTGCTTGCAGTGCAAATTAAAGTGTATTTTGTGCAATTGCATATTGTCTACTTGAAGCTGTCACTTGGCGGCAGTTGAACAGCAATAATCATGCTTTGTGGCAGCGTTGCCACCTAACAGTTTTCTTTGCGCAAGTCCGTTAGTTTTGAAAAGCCGAACTTTGTTTATTTTCGCATTTCACTGATATTTCACTTGTTATTCTCATTGCAGTTTCCCTGCTGTTGGCGCTGCTCTCGCTGATCTTTCTGCTAAAGATCTCGCCGAACAGCCGCGAGGATGCACTGACGCGCAGCATCAGCAGCGAGGATTTCATCATTGTCTACGATGTGACCCTGGCACTGTGCGCCTTGTCGCTCTCCCTGAATCTCTGCTGCCTGCTCGTTTGCGCCATACAATTTCTGTTTGCCGTCAAGCTGTTGCGCTCACCCATGTTCGATGGCCGGGACAACAAGTATCTGGAAAAGTCGAGTGCGAGCCGTACGTGCGCTGTCAGCGGCTTTTTCATCTCCATACCCGTCTTTCTGACCGGCATCATATTGTATACGTTCAATCATTTCCATTCGACGCCGGCGATCATCACGAGCGTCCTCATCGGCGTGGGCATTGTCTTCTGCGGCGGCGCCATGGTCCACAACGTGTTCGTCTGGCAAAAGGAGAAGACAATCAGCTACCGGAGTCCGCCGTTGCCGCTGAACATGTCACTGCTCTCAACGGCGACGACGCAGCTGCCGCCAGTTCAGCTATTTAACAATGCCGGCTGCCAGCCGGTGATGCCGCTCTATGGACAACAGAATCATCATTCCATGCTGCAGCATCATCCCACATCGGTGACGCCCGTTTCGCCCAATCATTCGCACGGCAGCTTCAATCCGCTGCTGTGCGCTGCCAGCGCCAATAACAATAATAATAATAATGGTATCGGTGGCATCATCAATTCGCCGTTCCTGGTGCGCCCGGCGACGGCAACGCCGCCAACACCCAAACCGATTGCCATTGCTGCCAATGGTAGCTGCCTGATGGGACGCGAGGCCAGCGGATCGGTCAGTCCAGGCATACCGCCGACGCTGGACATGAGCAACATAACAATTTCGCTGCATGAGCTGTCCACGTTGGTCTAGACGCGAAATCCATGCCAGTCCCAGTGCCCCCCACAAATACAAATAAGCGATAAGCATAGCCGTTAAATTTAAATGTATAAGTATCTGTGTAGCTGTAGACGACATCCACCGTAAAGTGTTTAGCTTTAATGATGTCCCACTTGCCTGCCGCCCTGTTGCCGTTTATGTTTTAAACTGTTGTATATATTTGTATATAGCTATAAAGAAAATTTTAATACATATTTAATATATTTAAACTTAACGTCTCCCCTGCGCTCAATCGATACTTAAATCTGTAACGTCGCCTGCTGTTATCGATATATGTATATCGTTTTGTTGGCAAGCTGTGCCAAACGATTGGGCAACGCCAAAAACACATGCCAACAGTTTGCAACATTGAAAATCTGCAGATCCTTTTTGTAATTATTTTGAATTTTTTATCATGTCAATTGATTTATATTTTTTGTTCAAGTGTGTTAAATCGTTCGCCTGCCCTCCAATGACAACATTTACGTTTTCAACTGTTGTATATAATTGTATATAACTATAATGGTTTTTAATACATATTTAATAGATTTATATTTTTGTTGTGTTCGATGTGTGCAATCGATTATTTTGCCAGAAATCGAACAACGAAGCTCGCTGTTATCGATATATCGTGGCCGTGTAACAAATGAAGTTTAAAACTGCCAAACGATTGGGCAACACCAAACACACATTCCAACAGTAGTTATTCCCATTTAAAATGTTTGAAATTCCTTATGCAGATGCTTCAAATCTAACTTTGCCGCGTCTTGGCAATTTGAATCCGATTAACAACAAACCAAAATAAAAAATAATAAAATACAAAATTCCAAGCTAATGTAAATTTTGCATCAACTTCTGCCAAATAAGTAAGTTTGTTTGCGTGTGTGTGTGTGTGTGTGTGTGTGCAGGCAGCTCTACTTCTTGGATCTTCCCCGTTTCTTGGGCGGCACAGATGCTTCACTTACTGCAAATATGTTAAATTGTAATTGAGGCCCATTTAAATGAAAGCTGACCACTTACCATCGGGCACGTCTGCTGCCGGTGCAGGCGGCTGCTCAGCTGGCGGCACCTCCAAGGTGCTGCGTCGACTGCGCAGATTCCTGGGTTCGACTGGCGGCGCCTCCTGTTTTTGCTCCTCACTGCCGCTGGGCTTGCGTGCACGTCTGCTCCTGGCGGGCAATAAAGCCGGCGGCTCACTGCAGCTGCGAGGTTTACGTGTGGGCGTGCCGCTGTCTGATTCCTGTCCAGCAACAGCGGCTATAGAACCCCAGCTGCCCACGGCCGGACTGCTGGCCAGCTGGCTGAGATGTGTGCGCGAACGTGTACGCGGCAACGCTGGCGATTCGCCAGCCTCCTCAATGGCCTCCAAGGGTCGGGCCAAAAGCTTTCGCCGCCGCTTGGGCGTGGACACCGGCACCGTTGAGATGGGCGGCAAGGAGCTGCCGCGCAAAACGCGACGCATGCTGGCCACAGAATCGTCGCTACGCAAACGCCTTTGCCTTTGCGCTGGTTGTGCCACCGGCGGCGTTGCGGATGCAGCCGTGGACGCGTCGGGCGTCAGCTGCTCCTCGCTGAGCGCGCTGCTGCTGCGGCGGCGGAGCGAACGCAGCTGGCGTCCGGTAACTGGTGACGGTGTGCTACGATTGGAGGATTCACTGCGACGCTGATCATCGCTGCGCAGCCGTATGCTGCGCTCCGGCACCGGCGGTGTTCCGGTTAAGCTTTGGCGTGTGCGTTTGATGCGCACTAACGGCTGCCTGGCAGCCTCCTCAATTGTGGGCAGGGTTGTGGCCACAGAGACGCGCACCGGTTCCTCCACCTCATCCACCTGCTCCTCCCCCTCCGGCGCCTGCTCAGTATCGGATAGTGTCAGGCAGGGATCGAACTCCACATCGGAATCTAGACTAATGGGCTGCTCAAGTGTGCGTGGAGCTGCCTCTGTCATATCCACATCCATAACCAGTTCGGCGTCATAGTCTGTCGCCTTAGCAGCCGGCACTGTCATCTCCCTCTCCATGTCCAGTTGATCCTTGTGCTCGCTAAAGGCAACCGTGGCCACCGACTGATTGCTGGAACCGGCATCCGATGGAGTAACCAACACAATAGCAGCTGGTGCAGCTGTTGCAGCTGGTCTAGATGGTGCTATCGACTGTTGCAGCTCGGCGCTATCCAAGCTGTCCAAGTTGATGGTGTACGAGTCGCTGTTGGCCGTTGCGCCCAACGAGGGGCATGGCACTTGGGTAGCCGGCGGCACGGATTCGTCCTGCTGCTTGAAGGCGAACAGCTCGGCGCTGCTGCAGGCAGTCAGCGGCTCCGGACGCGCCACATAGCCGCGCACCTCGGTGCCATCGAGCGCAATGACGCACTCATCCTCCTCGTCCAAATCGTCGTCCTCCTCCAAGGAGCCCTTTGTGGTGTCCAGATCATCCACCGTCTCCAGACTGTTGGCACGATACAGCGAACGATTGGAGCCACCTGCGGCGGCGCCGCCATGCGCCGCACGCGGCGGACTCGATGTCTGCGAGACGTTCGTATCGCTGGGCAGAAACGAGGTGGGCGTATGCGAGGTGGGCGAGCGGGAGTTGCTGATCGAATTGGTTGACTCCACAACAATGGAATAAACCGGCGCATCCTGACGTGCTTGTCGTGTGCCGACCACGCCCGAAGACGACATGTCCGATAGCTCGCTGCTGACGCTGTAGCTGGGCGAGTCCCGATTGTAGTTGAGGGTGGCGGGCTCCTCGTTGCTGGAATGCGAGCTTTGCTCCTCCTCCTCCTCGTCCTCCTCATCTTCCTCTACTTCCTCTTCTTGTTCTGGCTGTTGTTGTTGTTGCACCGGCTGCTCCTCCTGAACCTGCTGCTGCTGCTGCTGCTCCTCTTCCTCCTCCTCCTCCTGCTGCTGCTGCTGCTCCTCTTCCACCTCATCCTCATCCAGGTCTATGTAGGCTGTAGTAGCTGTTGTTTTCGCTTGCTCCGCCGGCTGTGGCTCCTGCTCGGCCGCTTGCTCCAGCGCCAGCGTCATATCATAGCTGGACATGCCCAGCGTGGTGTCCAGCATGCGCAACATTTGTGGCTGCGTCGGTGGCTGCAGCAATGAGGACGGCATGGACCATGCCTGCGGCGATGTGCCTACACTCGGCTCATCCATGTCGCCGCAAATGGTCGTGCGCTCCGAGATCTTGACTGTGCTGCTCGTGCTGGCCACCTCGCACATCTTCGAGGAGCAGACAGGCGGCACAAATTCATTTAACTGCAACGAACCCGTCGTACTGCCCATATGGACCGTGGCAAAGCTGCCGAAGCCGCTGCTCTCCTGCTGGCTGCTGCGCGCCAGCAACAAGGAACCGCGTGGCTGTGGACCAGTTGGTGGCGCCATTGCTGCACGTTGCTCCTGGCTGGAATCAACAAAGGAAACATTGGCCGAGGCCAACGGCGACAGGTACTCGGAGTCCGTATCCGAATTGGAGCCGGAATCGTGGGGCTGCTGCTGCGGCTGCTGCTCCTGCTCCACCTCGGAACTGGGACTGGGACTGGCTGGCTGTTGCTCAATTTCCACAAATATTTCATCAGTGCCCTCCTCCTCCTCCTCTTCCACCTCTTCCGGTTCCTCTATCACCATCATCTCGACATCCTGGTCACTGGCCGCCCGCGCAAAGTCATCCAGCGGAATGGGCGGCATAAAGCTGAAGCTCTGCCGCTCGGCCACCAGGGGCTGCGCTGACTGGCACCTGGAGCGACGCCGCTTGAGTATGGTGGGACGCAGCTGCTCCTGGTTAGTGACTGCTGCCGGCTCCTGTTGCACCGACTTGGGCATCAAATAGGCGGGCGGCTCCAAGAGCGCGGCCAGCTCGCGTTCATCGTGCAGCATTGGCGGCTGCTGCTCCTGCTCCGGCGCCAGCTCCTGTTCGGCCAGCTCTAGCGAACGTTGCACAAAGGTTTCCAACGCATTGCCGAATTCGAGGCGCGGTCGCTTTGAGGGCTGCTGCACAACATCCCGGCTGCAGTTGGCCAGATTCGGATTGAGCATACGCTTCTCCACATACTGAAATTGTGTGGGACGCACATGACGACGCAGCTGTGGCACATCCTTGACCGATTGGGCGGCATTACGGAGGAACGGCATATTCCGGCTGTTCAGCGTCTGCGCCTGCTTTCCGTTGGCATAGCGTGTGGCCCAATGGGCGCTCAGGGCGGAGCTCTGAAAGATGTTGCCCAGCTGGCCGTTGGCGTTCTGCTTGGCCAGCTGGCAGCTAAACGGCTCCGGCGATGGATTCCTCAGCTGATCCCCATTCAGTTTGTCGCGTATGCGAAAATATGTGCCAGCTATGGATTGGGTAACGGGCGCCATGGTGGTGCGATAGGCGGACAATATGCCGCTCGTCTCATCATTGGGTCCCTGCTCACGCTCGGCGGCCACCTCATCCATAAAGGACACGGCCTCAATGTACTTGCAGCGCTTGAGCAACAGTATCAACTGCACACAGTCCGTGGCCCGGGTCTTGCACTGGCGCAGCTGGCGATAGACGAGCTGCTCCTCGTGTTCCCGCAGGCACAAGGTCGCCAGCACCGTAAACTTGCCATTCAGTATGCAATGCCGGAAGAAACGCTCCAGCAGCGGTCGACCATCGTCGTCCATATAGATGCGTGCATGATGAAATGCCTCCGGTATATTATTATTGGCCAGCAGCACCTGCAGCTTTAGCTCCGACGATATAAAGCCCGGTGGCATGTGCACCACCTGCATCGCCTCTTGATTGGCTCTATGGGCGAGCAGTGTCTCAATCAGATGCTTGGTCTGCCATTCCGTGTAGCTGCTGTGACCAAGGCGTCCTCTGTACAACACATCGATCGTTTGCTGAGGGAGAGACAGACAGAGAGAGAGAGAGAGAGAGGGAGGTTAAGAGCGAGGGAAGACTTCAATTAGAGCGAGACAGACTGATTGTTTGACTGACTGGCCGATGATCAAGAGGCTAGCAGAGCTTACCTCGTAGTCACCGTTGTCCAGAAACCAGAAGGAACGCGCACACTTCAGCAGCGGCTCGGCTATGCCGAACGCCATGGCAAAATCCTGATAGAGTGGCCTTTTGCGCTTTGGCACGAGCAGCTGGTCCACGTCGTGCAACACATACAGCATTAGCTCGTGCTTGTGATCCAGCTTGGCATCGGGCAGCAGCATGAGGCGCATCAGCGATTGCAGTGTGCGCGGCGGATAGAGGCCATCTTGTTCGCTTTGGCGCTGCAGTCCAGCCTTAAAGCCGGAATGCTGCAGCTGCTCATCAATGTAGAGCCTGATGTGTTGATTCTGACGCTGTCGGGCACGACGATCGGCATACTCGCGCCGTATGAGCTGCAGGGGCTGCTGCTGCTGTTCGCTGCTCTCCGGCAAAATGGCCCGATCGATCAGCCAGTAAAGTATGCGCTGGTATTCATATAGAACGGTTAGCGCGCGCTCTGTGGCGCTCAGATCCTCGACCAGCTCGTGGCCGAGCCGTGCCTTGCCCAGCCGGACTAGGAACGCTTGCAGATTCTGCAGCTTGTAGAGCTGACCGTTTAGCTCCTGGTACTCTTTGCGCTCGCGCTCGTCCAGCGCATAGCCGCCATAGTCAAAGATGCCCTGACAGAGCTCCGAGCAGCGCGTCTTGATCTGGCCCGCACGCTTCACGATCCAGTTGGTCAGTATGGACAGGGTTAGCTTCGTGGGACTCATCATATTGCACAGATAGCTGCCGTCCATGCAGTTCCTGGCGCAGCTGTTCAGCAGCCAGAGGCGATCCTGCTCCAGTCCCATCGACAGCAGCAGCTCGTACATTTCGCGCTGCACAAAACAAGGAACAGCGGTTAATTGAATGATACGCAAAATGGATGTTTTTTTTGCACTTACCCTGGAGAGCGAGACATTTGGATCGTATTCATGGAACTGCGGCAACAGGCGCAGTTCTATGATCTCCTCCAGATAGTATTTCGGATTTAGGAACACATTGCCCTTGTTGTAATACAGCGAGTTCAAGAATCGACGCTGGACACCCATGTACTCAAAGTGGCAACAGCCCGTAATTGTCATCAGGAAGCAATCTGAGGGTGGGCGGTTAGTCAATCAATATTTTATTATTAATCTATTCAATTAATGCGCTTGGAAAGCTTTAAAGCTGCAGAAAGTTGTGCCTTTAGGCAGCTCTTAGTTATAATGTGCTTCAAAGCTGTTAGATGCATTCAACTCTAGCTGAAAATATGATTCGAAAGCTATTTAAAGCTTCCACAATTGTTTGTATATGCTTTTTAGGATGTCGAAAGCTCTTTAAAGCTGCTGAATAAAATCAACTCAAAGGCAAGTTAGACGTGAGCCTCTTTAGATGAGCTTTAAGTAAGCCTTAATCTTAAGCCAATTGAATGAATACAGCTTTTAAGCTGTTTTGCAAAGACCACTCACCGAACGACAGTGCCTTGGGATAGTAATAATCATCGTGACGTTGCATGGATATAAAAGGAATAATGGAGCGCGAGTCCAGCTGCATGCTGAGCGCAGCATACTGGCCGCTGAAGACGAAGCCGCATAGATAGTCGAGCTTCTCGTCCGGTCGCGGCGAGCTGGGCATTTCGTCCTTGTACCATTGATTGATGTCGAACAATATGAGCTTGTTTCTGTTGTCCGTGTGCGAGTGCCAGCTGATGGCGGTCAAAATGGTGCCATAGTCGCCGGATAGCGCAAATGTGGACGCTGTGCCGCAGCTCATCAGCGAGCAGCTGCCATTGTCCAGCGCCAGACGAATGCGCGTGGTGGCGCTCTGAAAGTCGCGCATATCAAAATCACAATTCTCAACGGACAGTGCGGAGCGCCTGTAGTTCAGCGAGTGCAGCGAGGCCATCAGATGATCGCCCGAATTGTAAACGGAGCATATGTAAAAGCACGGCTGCGGATCATCCGGTGGCTCAATACAGCAGAGACCAACAACCGGCGCCGGCTGCTGATCGGCTGGCATGCGCAACTGTGCCACCAGCTGCAAGCGTCTCAGGTCATAGGCACAGATGCGTCCATCGTGCAGGCCGGCAGCAAAGCCCGATATCAATGGCAGCGGTATCAGGCTGGTAATGGCATTCCGTGCCGGCACGGGCATATCAAACTCGAGCGCCACATGAACATCCTGTTGGCGGCAACGTCGCAGCTTCCCATCCAGGCGTTCCAATGCAGCCGCATCGCGCACAGACACGCACATGAGATCGCTGCGCTGAACCTCGCTATCCGGGAGCACAACGTTTGTGGAGCGATTGGCAATCGCTTGGCTGGCGTTGACATCCAACAGCAGCACGGTGCCGGCATCTGTGCCCAGTGCCAGGCAGCCATCGAATTGACGCAAAATTGTGCTCGCGCACAGGCGCTCGTTCAGGAAGGTCATCGATCGGGTACTAATGCCCGCCGCATTGAGGTCAATATAGCGCAGCACCTGACTATTTGTGGGCGTATAGATGGCCAGCTGTGTCCGGCCCGGCACCAGCTCAATGCAGACGGCCAACAGTATGCGACGGCCAATGCCAGTCGGGAACAGCTCCTGTACGCAGCGTATGCTGCTGCGCTGCCTGATCTTGCGCTCGTTCTCGCGCAGAAATGTGTAGCTAGCCACGCGGTAGCCATTGCTCAGCTGGCATATCAGAATAGTGGCTGCATCCGCATGCTGGCGCGTCAGCCAGCCCCAGCTGCCGTCATTTATGATGCCGCCAATATAATCGGCTGCAAGTGCCAAGAATATATATACATACATGCATTTAAGCGCACTACTTACCTGCGATGCTCCGTTCGTCGATCTGCTTGCCAAACACCTCCTCATATCCAGGTATGGAGCGCTCCGGAAATTTGGATGCACGGTTATCAATCAAGCCAATTTCATGCCACTCCATTGCTAATTAATGTGATATTTGCATCGAATATTAATGAAAATTGATGGTTATTTAATGGGTGTAATTCACTTGGCAGCTAAGTTTCGTGTGATTTCTATGCACTCGATTTGTGATATAAACTTTGAATTGATTTTGTTTTTCTAGCTAGCTAGATTTTAGTTTTTGGGCAATGCGCTTCGTTTTGACATTTTTGCACACATGCCGGCCGTTGTTGTTGTTGTTTTGTTTGGCTCCAGACGCCGTTGCTCTGGCAGCAGACAGTGTTGGCAAGCGCTCATCTGGTTATATCGCCGGTTATGCACAGGCTAGTTAGCGATAGTTGAACTGCAGACGAGGCGCGATTGTTGAAAATTAATATTTACATATATATTATTACAAATAGGAATAAGCGCTTGAAGCAGTTCAAAAACTCGTTTGAAATAAATCATACATCATTTAGCACTTAATAAGCAAAAGTTAAGTAATCGATATAAGACTTATTGTGATTATTTGTCGTATTAGCTTGCCAACAGCAATATTTGGTCATATTGCATGAAAACAGCGCTGATTTATACATTTGAAATGCCCACCAAATCCGTTTCAATAATGTTTCGCAACATCGCGAATATCATGGAGCAACACTGTGTACATCCAAGAAGCCTATCGATTCATCGTGTATCGCACTTAATTTGCAATCGACTCAGCATGCTGCGTTCCTTGCAGACAAAAACGTAGCCCCCCGGAAAAAGACATATTTTTACTAGCTCAAATAATTTCAAATGTGAAACACATTCTATTTTAAATGTGGCTTCTGGTTTGCGATACGTGTAAATGCGACTTAAATACCAACTTGTAAGCCATATAAATTGCATAGAGCGATACCGACACGACAGCTAAGCAGCTAATCGCAATCGCATACGTCTGGGGGCCCTAACCGCATTGGCGAAAAAATTCCGCACAACATCAGCAGCAGCAGCAACACAAAAATCGAAAGTACACACGCGCGCGCAACAGAGGCGGCGGCCAAGCCAAGAAGTAGCAGAAGTATTTAGCATTAAACCCAGATCGAATACCGGCAAACCGGGTAAGACAATAAACAGTGTGCATAAACAGTGTAAACATTCCAGCAAATAGCAAATGGCAAGGATGGCAGCATTTCCGTTACTTTAGACAAACACGCATGCACACACACACACACGCATACGGACTCTATTCAAAGCTTAGCGTGAAGGAGAAACAACTTTGCAGCTAAATGTGCGCCAATACAAGTGCAACCATTTACCAACACTTGTACAAATTGAGAGATAATTATAAAAAAAAAAAACAATGTAGAACAGTTAGCTGCAAATTGCCGAAGTTTGAATACCCTACCAAATATGTAACATATGCGTTCTCTAAAAAAAAAAAAAACAAAAAAAATCAAAACATTCCAATTGTCTGATTGTGCGCTTGTCAAAACATATTGAAGCATGTTTTTACAAAATATGCTGAAAATACTGAAAATTTAAATAGTTTAACACAAATTCGTTGCCAAATGCCGCTTGCCGTTGGAGTTGCCTGCTTGAATGTGTTACACACTACGCGAGCGAATGCAGTTGCCCTTTGGGGGAGGGTATACGCCGCAAAAGAATTGCATTTTTAATTGAATTGATTGCAACATTAATTTGTATTATTTGTTTTGTAGGTAAACTCCACGCGAACATCGAACGATATATATATATTAAATAATATATATATACAGAGCTGAGGATGGCCCAGCATGGCGTTACGGAGGCGCTAGCCGCAGAACTAGCCAAGGCTGTGGACTTGATAATGCATCCATTGACCGTGCAGCAGGCACGCCTCGAGGCATACACGGCCTGTGAACGCTTCAAGGAGGAGTCGCCGCTGTGCGCACAGGTGGGACTTTATTTGGCCAGCTCGGTACAGTTCAATCAGCAGGTGCGTCATTTTGGGCTGCAGCTAATCGAGTACACAATCAAATTTAAATGGAATTGCATAACGCACGAGGAGAAGGTCTACATTAAGGATAATGCCATCAAGATGCTAAACATGGGCGTTGGCCCCGCCGAAGATCGCAGTCTCTTGCATTTAAAAGACGCCCTTTCGCGCATCATTGTCGAGATGATCAAACGCGAATGGCCGCAACAATGGTCCGACCTATTGCCCGAACTGTCTTCGGCCTGCAATAATGGCGAGGCACAAACGGAACTCGTGCTGTTGGTATTCCTGCGCCTTGTCGAGGATGTGGCACTGTTGCAGACCATCGAATCGAACCAGCGACGCAAGGACATGTACCAGGCGCTCAACAACAATATGAATGACATATTCGAGTTCTTTTTGCGGCTCGTCGAGCAGCATGTGAACGCGTTCCGTGAAACGACGCGGCTGGGCAACTATCACAAGGCGAACGCACATAGCCGGGTCGTCGAGATGGTGCTGTTGACATTGAGCGGCTTTGTGGAGTGGGTCAGCATAAATCACATCATGTCCAGCAATGGCAAACTGATGCATTTTCTATGCATTCTGCTTAACGACAAAGCATTCCAGTGCAATGCCGCCGAGTGCCTTGCACAGATCACAAATCGCAAGGGCCAAACCAAGGAGCGCAAGCCCCTGCTTCAGCTCTACGGCGAGGAGCCGTTGCGCTACATTTACACAGCCAGCCAAATGCCGGCGGACATCGTCAGCGCCCAGGCCATTGAACAGCAGCATAATTTCCTAAAGAAACTGATCCAGGTGCTTAATGGCATGGTGCAGCAATTGGTGGCGCTGTGGGGCAAGGATGAGGGCACACAACGGCCGGCGCATTTGGACATTATGTTCGAGATCCTGCTGCTGCTCGTGCAGCATCCATCGCTGACGATTGCGCATGGCGCTGCGCTTATTTGGCAGCTGCTGCTCAAGCACGAGGGCTGCTCCAAGGACTATCTGATGGTCAACAACATTCCCAAGCTCATACACACCATAGCGCCGCGCATTGTCAAAATACCCTATCCGAGCAGTGTGCCGGGCCAGCCGGATGCAGCGCCCAACAGCACCGAGGCCTATATACGACTGGAGTACGACAGCGAGGAGGAGTTTGCCGTTTATTTCTTTCGCTGTCGCACCGACTTCCTAGAGATATTCCGCCTGTCCACGCTCGTGCTGCCACTCATCACCTACGGCTACTGTGAGCAATGGCTGCAATTGCGTTTGCGTCATGCCCAAAGCGAACGGGAAAGCACCAACATGAGCTGCAGCGTACTCGATCCCATCTATCTAGAATGGGATGCGCTTGTCTGTGTGCTCGACGGTGTCCTTAGCCGCATATTGCTTGTCGCCGAACGGCCAGCGGTAGCCGGCGGCCTGCGCCTGCTGGAGGAGTGCCTCAAGCTGGAGACCAACAATCCGCTCATCTATTCCATACTACTCTCATGCATATCAGCGCTGTTTGTGTTCCTCAGCATGTCCTCGTGCCAGCTGACCCCCAACAATTGTGTTGCGATGAGCGGCGTGGCGCTGTTGCCGCGCGTTCTCGACAAAATCTTTCGTGCTTTGGTCCTGAAGCCGCCCAATGAGCTGGAAAAGGTGCAACAAAAGTCGGCCAAGAATTTGCGTCGTCATGCCGCCTCGCTGCTGGTCAAGCTGGCGCATAAATATCCTCTACTCTTGCTGCCCGTGTTCGATCAGATCAACAATCATGTCGAGTGTCTGCTAAAGGAGCCATCGTCGCCTTATCTATGCCGCATGATGCGCACAACGCTGCAGGAGGCGCTCATCCTTATCTCGAATCATTTCTGCGACTTTGAGCGTCAGACCCTCTTCATCGAGCACATTGTCCAGCAGAAGCGCAGCGAATGGCTGAGCTTTGGCGAGGCCTTCAAATCACCGCTGGAATTCATGCGCTTTGTCGGTCTGGACAAGCCGCCCGTCTTTGATTTCGACAGCGATCCATCGATTGTGAATCGTTCACGCATTTTGGATGCCCTGCATGTGGTCCTGGGCGTTGTCAAGCGCTGCACCTGGCCCGATGATCCGGATCGTGCACAACGCGGCGGCTTTGTCATCGGCTGCACCGATCTGGGCAATCCCATATGCCGCAATCCGGCCACCAAGCACGTGGTGCCGCTGCTCTCGCATGTGCTCAGCCTGATGCGTGTGCTAAACGAGCTGTTCCGGCCAGAGGCGCTGGCTGGCCTCTCCGAGGGCTATCGCAATATACACGGCATGCTGGAGCACGAAAAGAAGCTGCTGATGGGCATATGCGCCATACCGGCCGATCCGCTGGACACGACCATTAAAAAGGAACCGACTGCCTTTGAGAAAATGCAGACATTCATGACCCTGGTCACCGAGGGCTGCTACCATCTGATGGGCTCGGCCGGCCCCTCGCTGGGCCGTGATCTCTACCAGCTGCTGGGCCTGTCCGATGCCATCATTAGCAATGTGTTCAGCTGCATGGACATCATACCCGACTATCGCATGCGACCCATCATACGTGTCTTCTTCAAGCCTTTCGTCTACTCGTGCCCGCCCACATTCTATGAGCCGGTGCTGGTGCCGCTCTTTGCCCATTTGACGCCGCTGATGTGCGAGCGCCTGACCCGCCGCTGGATCTACATATCCTCGCTGTACGAGTCCGGCCAGCTAAATGGTGAGGTCAACGATACCCAGGAGGTGCTCGAGGATCAGCTAAATCGTACGCTTACACGCGAATATCTGGATGTGCTAAAGATTGCGCTAGTCGGCGGACAAATTGGTGCGGATCATGTGAACGCCGTCGGCGGTGCCAATGTGGTGGCCATGGAGAACGAAGAGCACTCCATGGACAGTGCACCGCAATCCCGTGCCGCACAATCCGCCCTGCTGTCGGACATTATCAGCGATCTGGGTGGCAAGCTGCTGCGCAACGGCCTGATTGGCAACTATATCCTGATGACGCTGCTGAAGGCGATCGCCTGGAACGATGGCATGTGCAACATGAAGGCTGTGAATATAGCGGCGCCCGTTATGCGCTTCCTGGCCGCCGAGCAGCTAATGGACGAGAATATGGCTGTGAGTGCATTTACAGCCGTGCTCCAGGGCATGCAGGTGCATGGCCAACACGAGGCCAATCAATCCGGCCTGATCACACTCGGCGTTCAGTTCTATGAGCTGTTGCGTCCGAAATTTCCCGTGTTAAGTGATGTCTTGCAGCATATACCCAGCGTGAATGCGGCGGATGTGCAAAAGTTCGATGAGAAAATCTCTGTGGCGCCCGTCAAGGGCAACAAGGTGGATCGGGCCAAAAAGGATATATTCAAGAAGCTAACCGCCCAGCTTGTCGGACGCAGCGTCAATCAGCTGTTCCGGCACGAGGTGCAAATCGCCAACTTGCCACCAATGCAGCCGGTTAGCCAAAAGAATGCCAGCACCAATACCGGCGACATCATGGACAGCAATCAAAATGCCAATCTGAGCAAGCTCTTCCGCACAGAGAAGTGACAGGAGGCGGCGGAGGAGCCGTCCCGATGCCGCCGTGCCGCCGCGGCGACGACTGAACATAAATTAATTGTAAACTAGTTAAGCAGCAGCTGCCGCAGCCGCAGCAGGAGCAGGAGCTGGTGCCGCAGCCAAAGCAGCAGCTGGTGCCGGAGCCGGTGCCGCTGACGAAGCCGGAGCCAGAGACTGGGTCTGCGTCTGCCAGCCACGATTTCTGGCGGTGCTCCCAAGGCGTGCCACAGACAAGTCTTGCAACACACACACCCACACACACCCTTTTTTTTATATATATATATATACATATATTAACTTTTTGCTATTATTTATTGTGTAACACATCTAACGTTTAAGTTCCTCCAGGCGCACTGTGCGTAAGCTGTACCCCCGCCCCCTCCCCCTCCCTTTCACACACACACACACACACACACCCTGTAGCAGCCTCAGCTGCTTTGCATGCAGTTCTTCACTTGTTAGGCGCCACAGCAGCTTTGTTATTTATTGTTCCGAAATTTGTTAATTATTTTGCACAAAATACGAAAAACGAAAAGAAGTTGAATTAAAAGCCAAAATTCAAAAATAGTTAAAAACTACAACAATAACAATAACAAACACCAAGTTAATGCTCGAAAAGCAATAAGATCGTCTCAGCATAGTTCAGCCCAATTTTTTATACCATAATAATAGTCAACAAAATATTCAAATTTGTATATTCGAAAAGAAAACAAAAAGAAAAAACGAAAAAAAAAAACAAAACACGAAGAATGCCCTTTAAAGAATAATATTGTATACATATATATTTATGAATATATATATATATATGGATATTTTCAAGTAATATTGAAATTACGCTTAGGGTTTAGTTAATAAGACAGGAGTTATTATTATATAATATGCATCTTGTATATGGACACACACACACACACACACACACATCGGGATACAATGCGAGTATATTTTACAATATTCAAACTGAAATTATATTTTTAAAAGCGAATAAAACGAGAGAAACAGAAAAAAACCAAACACGAAAATAAACTGAAAAACAATACAAAAATAGTTAAAAAACACAAAGTGCCGTAAAGTACAGACATTTATTCGAGAGGATCCCATATTTGGGGATATCTCTGAAAAACGGGTTAAAATAAATAATTAGCAGCTGCTTAAAACGTGTTTAACTAAAGTATATTATTAAAAAGCAATTGTTTAAAAAAATCGCATTTCCTAAACACGATTCAAACGAGCCTTTTGCATCATTTGCCAGTTATTCCGAAGAGAAGATATATCTGGAGTTTCTCAATGCACAATAAACTCATAAGAAAATTTGTAGCTTTAAGCGCAATATGATACATTTTTTTATACTCGTATGCAAGTTTTTCCTACTCGAAGTTCACTTTTAGCCTATGACAATTGAATAGCATATAAAGAGTCTATATATAATACATGAATGCAATTTTGAAATAAAATCTGCGTGTGTGTATATATTGTATATATATGATAGATAGATATTGATTAGCCGCCATGCCGATTATCGCACAGATTACTCCAGTCGGGCACATGCTCGTTCCGCAGATACGACTCCTTGGACAGCGAACGCGTCTGTATCAGATCCGTGGCGCCGCACAGTGCGCCGCCCAGCCAGGCTGTAAAGTTTTGCTTGCCAATTGAATTGTAGAACTTGAACTGCAGTTCGCCGTGAAAACGCTCTCGGTAGTAGCTATCGTTGGCCAGCAGCTGTTGCAGCTCCTGTTTGAGGCGCGGCAGGAGGCCCAACACCATGGCACCGCCGCCAATCACAAATATGCTTTCGATCAGCGCACGGCGCACATCCATGCTGCAGTCGAGTATGGCGCGCAGTATCAGATGCGGCAGGCTATCGCGTTCATTGTTCTGCTCGAACATCAGCTCGTAAACCGATTCCCGAACGGTGCCGGGTATGCTAATCACCGCATCGCCATCACATATCGCATAGTCAACGCTGGGCGGCGGCGGAGGCGGCTGCGTCTGGTCGCTGCTGGCCCGCGCCTGGGCACGCTCATAGCTGTTGACAAAGCAGGTGCGTATCTTGATGTCCTCCAGCACACTGGACGTTAGCAGCGGCTCCTTGACGCCTGTCGCCACCAATTGACGCCGGATCTCATCATGCACAGCGCTGCTGCCGTAGCTATGATCCTTGAACGCGGACAGAATCTGCACACCACTGAACACGGGCATTATGGTTGTCTCACTGTAGCCAATGTCCACAACCAGGCCCGTGGGCACCGCCAGCGTTGAGAGCGCGATCAGATGGGCGGGCACAAACAGCACCGAGGAGACATCGAAGTGAATGAAGAGCGCACGCGCCAGCGTCTCCCGTATAATCGTCTGCCCGAATATGTTCTCGACAATCACAAATTTGCGCTCCTTGGGACTGACCAGCAGATGCCTGAAATTAATCAGAAATTAAATAGATTTTGGCCAACAACTTGTTGATGATGGATTTACTTGAAGAATATGGTTTGCAGAAAGTCCACAATTTGATCGTACAGCTGCTCGGTGCCCACATAGTCAAAGAGTCGCTTTGTCACGCCCGTTGTGGTCAGCACCACTGTTGTGGGTATAATCTTACGTGGATAGGCCTCCGCCGCAAAGCCTAGCCTGTAAGGAAGTGCGATGATATCATCCGACGAAAATGTAGTTTCGTGTTTGAATTGTTCGTTACTCACTTGGTGTAGGCAGTACCAATATCCAGGACAATTGGTGGCTTTTCTTGCATTACGCTCTCATACAGTGGCATAATTTAATCGCTTTTAGACAGCTAGCCAGCCGTGAAATTTAACTAAAGCTAAGCTACAAAAATTGGCAACAGCTGCGTTTGCAAATAGCGATTTCGATAACAACACTGCTAAATACGATAAGCTAGCAGATACGATATTGAAACTATCGATACTTTTGTGCGATATTTTGGAATTTGCAAACATTCAAACACCTGCAGCCACAGTTGTCACATGTGATACAAAACATGAAAAAAAAAACGGTTACACTATGTTTGCGATGGTACACATATACTTACAAATAATAAGTACATATTTTCCCTGCTTAAAAAATTATATAAATATTTTCCAAATATATACAATTTAAGTATTATAATGTTTTGTGGTAGCAGATTAACGTTATCAATGGTTAAATTGACAACCTCTTCATGGAAGTAGTACTGTTTATGGTTCAAATTAATTTGGTTAGGTGGCAATCTTGGCAGCGACTTGGACTAAAAAATGTGTTATCGATATATTGTCAGCTGTTTGTATATCGTAAACAGAAAGTGCGGTAGCGCTCGTTGGTTTGTTTATTTGCGCATCATTTGTTTAATTTGCTTTAATTGTAGCATACAAAATCATATTAATAAAAAATGAGTTTTATACAATTCGAAAGTGCGCGCGAAAAGGAGAAAGCACGTCAAGACCTCAGGGAAGCACGCGCTGAACTCTTAGAGCAGGTAAAAAAAAGTGTTAGCAGAAAAAACCGTATTACATCCACAATTTTGTAACAGGCAAAATCACGGGCGGAGGAGCGCAACAAACGGGAAATTCAAAAGGAGCTGCGCGGCGAAAGCAATTGGATGCTGCCAGCGCTAGCTAACAAATTGGACAAGCTGAGCAGCAAGTCAAAGAAGTCCAGCAAAAAGAAGAGCAAACACAAGTCCAAAGCGAAGTCGTCAAAATCGAAGAAGTCATCCAAAAAGAAGCGCAAAAAACACAAACACAGCAGCAGCAGCAGCGATAGCGACAGCGACAGTGATAGCTCCACTTCCAGCTCTAGCTCTAGTTCTGACTCGGACAGAAAGCAGCGCAGCCGCCACAAGAAAGTCAAAAAGAATCGCAAGCGGAGCGGAAGCAGCGCTGACGAGTGGGTGGAGAGTGCGCCCGCACAGGCTTTGGTGCAACGGGACAGCTGGATGACGGACAGCGCAGCTCTAATGCTGAAAACCTACTCGAAGGAGCGCAAGGAACCAGCCAAGCCCAACGAAAAGCTGCAGCAAATCGATGCTTATGATCCGGCCAAAAGCTGCCACGAGCTGAATCCCTATTGGAAAAGCAATGGCACCGGCCTGCCGGGCTTTCAAAAGCCCAAAGCCGACGACGATGAAGGTGAAGAGGATGCGCAACCAGCCAGCCACGCCAGGGCAATGCAACAGCCTCGTGGCAGCACGCGCAGCTGGCAAAAGCCCGGAACAGTCAAGGACTGCGGCAGCAGCAGCAGAAACAAGCGTAGCCCGTCACCTGCTACTTCAGACGCCAGCTCCGGCGAGGAAAGTGAAACGGAGCCGACGCATCTGACGGATGAGCAAATCAATGAATTGGCCGCCAAGGCCATTAAAGCCGAGCTCAAGGGCAAACCCGAACTGGCGGCTGAGCTCAACAAGCAGCTGGAGACGGCACGAAAGCAACGCACCGAACTCCTGGCCAGCGGCAAAGCGCCAGCAGCAAAGCCAAGCAAATCGCAGCAGCGGCAGGAACGCGATCACGTGCTGCTCACAAGGACCGATGCCAGCGGCAATGTGCGTCCACTCGTTCAGTCGCGCTCGGCAGCTGCCCAGGCGGATCCCAATGCGCTATACGGCGGACGCAAGGGCCAGAAGCGTGCCCAAAAGAAGGTGGACACGCATGTGGATGGGCAACGGGTGCGCTACTTTGCGGACGATGATCGCTACGATATCAAGCAGATGGTAATCCGTAATCTGTTTATATTTTCTTTCTCTTAACCGAGATCTAATTCCGTTCCATAATTTGCAGTTTGAGCGCGAGAAGCATGCGACCGCGGCGGACTCAAATCTGCAGTACGCCGACATCGTATCGAAGCACAAGAATCCCAATGATGATCTGGAGGATATATTTGCGGATCGGGTGCGCAAGAACATCACGGAGGCGGATGCCGAGAAGCGTGAACTGCAGCAGGCGATACGGGAGCACGAGAAACTGGCCGCAACGCTGGAGAACTGTGAACGCTGCTTTGACTCGGCCAAGCTAGACAAGCAGCTGCTGGTTGCCATGGGCGACAAGATCTATCTGAGCCTGCCCTGGCATGTCGGCCTGCAGAGCGGCCATTGCATATTGACGAGCATGCAGCATGTCTCGGCCAGCACACTGCTCGACGAAGATGCCTGGGAGGAGCTGAGCAACTTCCGTATGGCACTGACCCGCATGTTTGCCGCGCAGCGCAAGGATGTCGTCTTTTATGAGATCGCCAACAAGCTGCATCGGCGTCCGCATCTCACTGTCCACTGCATACCCATACCGGAGTCGCGGGCTGAGATGGCGCCATTTTATTTTAAGAAGGCCATCGAGGAGTCCGAGCAGGAGTGGTGCATTAACAAGCAGCTGATCTCACTGCGACAGAAGTCCCTGCGCGCTGCCATACCCAAGGGTCTGCCCTATTTGTGGGTGAACTTTGGCATGGATGCGGGCTTTGCTCATGTTATCGAGGATCAGGAACGTTTTCCAGCCAACTACGCACAGGTTTGTAAACATTGCTTAACTATAATAATTCTATTAATTAATTTTGATACTTTTAGGAAATTATTGGTGGCATGTTGGAGCTTAATCCGAATTCGTGGCGCAAACCGCGCAAGGAGCAAAACTCCATTGCCAAGGTCAAGTCGTTTGCGGAGGCGTGGCAAAAGTTTGACTGCACCGAGCACTAGGTCGACGCACTAAAAGCAACTTTGTAAAATTTAAATTTGCTACAAAAAAAAAAATAAATAACGTAAAATAAGCATGCGTTATTTTTGTTATATATTCAAAAAAGATATCGTGTATCGAATTTCAATCGATGTGTATATAAATCGATATATCGATAGGCAGTGCGTTGTGCACATTTCCAGCACTGGCAATTTGCTCAGATTAGGTGGCAGCCTTGTCAACGACAATAACCGCAGCCAACTTCGAGCGTCTTGTTCTTTTTTCCGGTTGACTTTGACTAGCAAGGTAGTGCTCGCGTTCGTTTACGTGAATATTTTTTTTTTATTGTTAAATTATTGCTGCAAATGCAAGGCAATAAATGAAAATGTGTGTCAACTAAAGTGCAAGCGTGAATGTTGCAATTGAATTACTTAAAAATGATAAAACTTACATTAAATACTTGAAAAAGCGACATGCGCTGAAATTCGCAGAATATTGTTGTCTTTGTTTGCATGTGTGCGTGCGTGCGAGTGTGTGTGCGTACGTTTGCGAATCGCAACGTGTTTTTTGTATTAATTTTTTTTTAAATTTCTTTAATGTTTGTATTTGTGCTATATTCTAGATGCCAGGTGTCACAGTGAAGGATATTGACCAGCATGCCGTTACCAAGGCGGTCGCAGTTTTCCTTAAGAAGTGAGTTTGCAGTTGGAGGCACTGCACAACACTGCGTTTGTGCGTACATAACCTCACAAATGCGTTTGTTTGTATATAAATATTTATAATATTCATATGCATAAATATGTTTTAGGACTGGCAAATTGAAGGTGCCCGACCAGATGGACATCATCAAGACAGCCAAATTCAAGGAACTGGCACCCTACGATCCCGACTGGTTCTATGTGCGTTGCGCCTCGATTCTGCGTCACCTTTACCACCGCAGTCCCGCTGGTGTTGGCTCCATCACCAAGATCTACGGTGGCCGCAAGCGCAACGGTGTGCATCCATCGCACTTTTGCCGTGCCGCTGATGGTGCTGCCCGCAAGGCGCTGCAGGCTCTTGAGCACGCTCGCCTGGTCGAGAAGCACCCCGAGGGTGGCCGCAAATTGAGCTCGATTGGACAGCGCGATTTGGATCGCATTGCCAACCAGATTGTGGCCAAGCAGCGTGACGCCGCCAAGCAGACTGGCCCTATTGTTATTTCCAAGTAAATTGATTGTGTTGTACCCGTGCCTGGACACCGCACCGAACCAATCCCCAAGTCTATAAAACTTATTTAGACTTCTACTGTAAGAGTTTTTTGTTTGCACACAAAACATACAAGAATATAAAAACAATTCACTAAAGTCTACAAAAACAAGCGTAAATATGCACTAAATCGTTTTCTTTGCCCACACGAAGCCATCAGGCTGTAAAGAAGGCAACACATCAGACCAAGTCGCCAAGTTGGAGGCTGCACAGATCTTGAAGCACATTGGAACAGTTCGCCCGTAAATTATCTACTCTTCAGCCGCATATAAATATAAACTGGTTTGGAAATATCTCTATGCCTGCTCTTTAGCAAACTATTCTCGCATAAGTTACCGTAGAAACGTAATATATATGATTCATATGCCGATATCTCTTATTGGACCACTATAGTTGCAGTTGACAGGAATTATCCTTTATCAATTTTTATATGATGAGTAAATATCTTGAGAGTTTTCCATAGAATAAGGGCAGGAACATGGTCTATTTCGTATACCCCAATTAGGCTTGACTTTATGCAAATTCTCATGACGGGACTAGTTTGCATAGAAACGGCTTGGTTCTGCTAGCTATACTGATCTGGAATATATATACTTAATGGCGTTGAAGATGTCTGCGTAAGATATTGCTGGACATATTGATAAAAGACGCAGGCTGCGAAAGAAATAACCAAAGCTGTGCACAACTTTCCATTCGATCACAACAGCTTAAGCCGAGACAAGTTAATAAATACAAGCACAATTATATTATATTCGCGTATGCCCTAACAGAGATTCAAATAAACGATGTGTGAAGCATCAATTTGTTGTTTACGAAGAATGTATTTAAAATTGATGAACATGAGGGTAGGTCCATGAATGATTTGTCAGAGCCTTAAGACTAGTTTGTTTGTTAAATAGTTCACATTTAACTCATTAACCGGCGGACAATGCTGAGGTACGACCCACGTTCTATATCAGACTCTATCTAACGCCTCGACCATGACAATGCTGTTGCCGCGTATCACCTGGAAAGCAATTGGTAAGTCTTAGTATATGTATAGTTGGATTGAGTGTCTAAGCGTACCACCATGCCAATACTATTCTTGGTATTATCCTTGCACTCCTCCACGGTATCGTCGAGCACCACGTTCATGAATGGATCGAAGCCGCGCAAGATGCCGGTGACTGCTCGGCCGCCATTCAGCTTGAGCATCATGCGTTTGTCCATGTACCTGGGTGGAGACATGTATTTGGTGATTCTTATAGATCGGCGGCATTAGGTACTTACTTTTTCAGCTCTGGCGGATGTGCTTTCGACATTTTGATTTAAAAAGTGTTTTGGTTTTTTGCACAATTAACAAAAATTGAGGCGAATCGACTCAAAGTAAAAATGCGAACTCGTTTTGGAGTGACCGTTTTGTAAACGTTTGCGCAGTGCTGTAAAGTGCAAGAAATGGAAACGCACTAAATGTGCTAGTGCTGCAAGCTGTGCCACAGCTATCGTACATTGTTTATGCTATGTGCGCATATATTTGGGTCATGACAACCGCAAACACGATACTATCGCGAGCATGGGCGATAGTTTTGCAGCTCTCTCGTAGCAACACAGCAACGATAACTGCTAGCATCGGCAATTAATAATTTTTAAGTTTATTTTTATTAGTTCTCAGATTGTGTTTGTTTGTTTTTGTTTACGTTAAAGTGTATTTATGTTAACTTGTTAGATAACGCAGCCAGCATTCGGTCAAGCCATGCGAATTGCTCATGTGAAAGTCGATTGAAAGCGCCTAAACACGAAATCTACATAAATCGCATCCGTCGCTGTCGCTGTCGCTGTCGCTGTCGCCGTCGCCTATGCCTCTGTGTACGTGATGTATGTGTGGATGTGCCTGCGCCAGTGTTAGTGTGTGCCCGAAGACTTTGTCGCTGCTGTCGCCTTTTGACGGGCCAAACAAAAGGGCGGGTAAAAGAAAAGTCAACAAAAGTTGCCCGAACGGGAACGAGGGGAAGCAGCAGCTCCCTGGCAATTTGCAATTGACAGCGCCATAACGGAACCATCAAAAATGTTCACAAAGAAGAAGAAGAAACCGCTGATCTCGATGCCGAGCAATTTTGAGCATCGCGTGCACACGGGCTTCGACAAGCGGGAGAATAAATATGTCGGCCTGCCGCTGCAATGGGCCTCCATTGTGGGCAATAACCAGATATTAAAGTCCAGCAATCGACCGCTGCCGCTTGTCGATCCCTCAGAGATAACGCCAACCGAAATTCTCGATCTGAAGACAATTGTGCGTCCGCATCACAATAACAACAAGGCGGACACAACATCGCTGAACAGCAGCAGCAGCACCATGATGATGAGCAATCCCTCTGGTGCGGCCGCAATGCTGCCCCAGCAACAGCAGCTGCAGCAACAGCAACAGCAGCAACAGCTGGTGCTGCCCAAGACATCGCATGTGGCGCGCTCGAATTCGTTGCGCAGCTCCAGTCCGCCGCGTGTGCGTCGTGTGGCCAATGTGCCGCCGGCTGTGCCCGAGGAGGAGTCGTCGGTATCAGCTGCTGCCACGCCCACACCAACAATGCCTGGCCATGGCTTTAAGCCGCAACAGCCGATGCCACACAACATGCTCTATCCCAGTCAACACGCCCATGCACATCCGCACCAGCATCCACATCCGCACACACATCCCAATGGCGCCGTCACAGGTCCACTGGCCGTGCGCACCGATCAGTACCGTGCTGCTCCGGGCATGCCGCAGCAACAGCAGCAGCAGCAGCAGCAAACATCGCCGGTGAGCTCTGTGGCCAGTGCAACGCGTTCTACGCATTCGCATCACAACAACAACAACAACAACAACAACAACAACAATGGCCAGAATCCATATCCCATGTACCCTGCCTCACAACAGCAACAGCAGCAACCAAAACTTGTGGCCGATCAGAATCAGAATCCACACATCAATCACGCCAAGACAGCATCGCGCGCCTCCAGCTCCAGTGGCAATGCAGCTGCACTGGCCGCTGCCGCCCAAGCACAGGCTCAGGCGCAGGCCCAGCCCAAACAGGAGCAGCGTCTGACACACGAGCAATTCCGTGCTGCATTGCAAATGGTTGTATCGGCGGGCGATCCGCGCGAGAATCTCGATCATTTCAATAAAATTGGCGAAGGCTCCACGGGCACCGTTTGCATAGCCACCGACAAGTCAACAGGTGAGTTGTTGCTGCTCGCATTCGTCCAAAAATTCAAGTACTATTTCCTTGCCAACCAATTGCAGGTCGTCAAGTGGCGGTCAAGAAAATGGATCTGCGCAAGCAGCAGCGACGCGAGCTGCTCTTCAACGAGGTGGTCATCATGCGTGACTATCATCATCCGAACATTGTGGAGACATACTCCAGCTTTCTGGTCAACGATGAGCTCTGGGTGGTCATGGAATATCTCGAGGGCGGCGCACTCACCGACATTGTCACACATTCGCGCATGGATGAGGAGCAAATAGCCACCGTTTGCAAGCAATGCCTAAAGGCTTTGGCCTATTTGCACTCACAGGTGCGTGACCAGCATGGGCAACAAGCCAACCCGAGACCCAACCCCAGCCACAGCCCAACAACAATTCAACAGCCAAAGCCTCACCCAATGTCTCTTTTTTTTCCCCCCATTTCAATGCCTTTCTATTTTCGTTCTTTTGCGCTTTCTTTCGCGGTTTGGTTTCAATTCCGAAATGTCGCCCGCCGCATATGTAATGCGATAGCTGGGCGCTCGGACGGACTCTGCTGTTGGCTTCTGGAAGCTAGCTAAAAAAAGAACCACAAATTTTGCTGACCCAACCCCTACCCTGTAAACCGAAGTCAGCCAAATGTGCATAATAGGCTTAACCATGCATCTATATATCTATTATCCATACTGGACAAGGCATTGGCCCTAGGAAAGCATTTCCGACGACCAAACGATTCGATTTAGCCATATCTGCAAGCATAACTCGAACCTTTGACGAGCTACAGATTGAGAATACTTCACTTTTTGGATCTTCCCAAGGAGAGGTAGAGCGGGAAATAGGTTAAAAATGGGGGCTTAGAGCTGCACTCAAAGATCAAAACAGATTTCATATAGAAAGAGATAGAGAGAGTAAGGGAGAGAACACATTTCTGTAGCGCAGGGTATCTCATAGTCGTATATGCTTGCTGCGTGTACTTTGTAGTTACAATTACTAAACACAAATGCGGCCTAAAGCTAGTCTTAGGCTCGTTTAGAAACGGGTTTGACAAATTAGCTAAGTATTTTTAATTAACGCGAGAGAGAGAGGGAGAGGGAGAGGGACAGAGGTCACATGTGCCCGTGTCCCGTGTCCCATAGTATCCCATAGTCGTGCAGGCTCTGCTCTTTACTTTTACAATTGTGCCAAATGCAAAACAGGTTCAAAGCAGGCTCAAAAGAGGTTTGAAACAGGTTCAAATATTATACTGGAATTTGCGCCCAATTAGAAAGAGAGAGCAAGCGAGCAGAGGGTATCTCATAGTCGAATGTACTTTTCTATTACATTAACTGTACACTAATTGCCACACCATTCCACACAGGGCGTCATCCATCGTGACATCAAATCGGACTCCATACTGCTGGCCGCGGATGGACGCGTCAAGCTGTCGGACTTTGGATTTTGTGCGCAGGTGTCGCAGGAGCTGCCCAAGCGCAAATCATTGGTGGGCACACCGTATTGGATGTCACCGGAGGTCATATCGCGTCTGCCATATGGCCCCGATGTGGACATCTGGTCGCTGGGCATTATGGTCATCGAAATGGTTGACGGTGAGCCGCCGTTCTTTAACGAGCCGCCGCTGCAGGCGATGCGTCGCATACGTGACATGCAGCCGCCAAATCTAAAGAATGCCCACAAGGTATCGCCGCGTCTGCAATCGTTCTTGGATCGCATGCTCGTCCGTGATCCAGCACAGCGTGCCACAGCCGCCGAGCTGCTGGCGCATCCATTTCTACGGCAAGCGGGGCCGCCATCGCTGCTGGTGCCGCTGATGCGCAACTCCAGACACCACACCTGAAGTGGGTGGGACACCTTGATGATCATTCAGGTTGACCACAATGATGCACTGCAGCCATTTGGGACACGCTTGCTGTTGCTTTAGTTTTCAAACTTTACTTAAATGTAGTATTATTCATACTTTGGCTACGCTTTTAGTACTTGGCAATTGCTACTTAAACCCCTCGTAAACCCCCCCGCCTCGCCCCACTCACGCACTATGCATTGTTAAGTCATTATGCCACGCCCTAAAGTACACACACCCACACACACACACGCACACACACACATTTTACGCATTAAGTATTCCATGTCGGCATTCAGCAAATGCTACACAATATTTTTTATAGATATTTAAAAAAGAAAACTCTCTTCTATGTGACCCCACCCCCTCCACCACTCCCGCTACCCCCTTTCCGTGCCCATTTTGTTATTGTTTCGTATAATTTGTAACATATTTTATATGATATATGTCTACACATAAGATCGTACGCAAAGTGTGCCTTTCTCTCGCGGAACAGACTAGAAAACATTTCAACGAATTCAATATGCATATGCATATATATATATATATACATGTATATTTAATGTGACCATGGAGGACAGCACTCGATTGTTATTGCCGTTTTGAGCCAAGGCGCAGCCATTGCAAAATGTTATTCTTTATAGGCAAATATCTATTCTTTTCAAGCGCCATTTGGTAACAGCTAATACTCGATCGAACGTGTTCTATATAAATCCAAAGCTCTGTTCTATGCAAATGCAACATTTTCTACATTTTCTACATTTTTTTTACATTTTCAACATGTTTTTTAAAATTGAATATTTTGTTTGATACTGTCTCAAAAGCGCAAGCGGGCACAGTTCTTGTCAATATAATGGTTTTACTCTATTATTAGCATATATATATATTTTAATTATTAATATGATTATATTTTTTGTGTGGTTATGTTGAGAGCTGCATTAACATTGTTCGAATATATAAACAAATATAAAACTGAATATATAGTATATTTAGCATAAGTATTGAGAAACAACGAATCATAAATATGGCTCATCTCCAACGAATATGATGTACTGGTTAAATAACCATTAATATACATATATATCATCCATATATATATATATATTTATATAGACTTAAGCAAGCCTGTACTTATTGTTGTCATTTGAACGCATGCTCCAAGCTAAGGCTCCATACAATCTACCCTATGTATAGCAATTATTTATATCATAAATAAGTTATATATATTGCTCGAAATCAGATTTGACATTTGTGGACTGTTAAACCCAAGATTATACAAAATACATTCCCCCAATTGACCCACAATTGAAAAATACCAATTATAAGTATATATACATCGATTTTTTTTTTTTTGAAAAACATTCTGTTCTGTAATTATTAACAAATAAACACACAGGTATTGAAACGTGCGTGTTATTATGATTTTTGTGCGTTAATTTTCAATATTATTTGTGCTTGTCTCTCTTTTGAATTGGTTTCAATTGAACCAAAGACAGAGTTGTCCCTATTAGTTGGTTTCAATTGAACCAAAGACAGAGTTGTCCTTTGAGTTGGTTTCAATTGAACCAAACACAGAGTTGTCCTTTGAGTTGGTTTCAATTGAACCAAAGACAGAGTTGTCCTTTGAGTTGGTTTCAATTGAACCAAAGACAGAGTTGTCTTTTCAGTTGGTTTTAATTGTATCAAACACAGAGTTGTCTTTTCAGTTGGTTTCAATTGTATCAAACACAGAGTTGTCCCTTTGAGCTGGTTTCAATTGAGCCAAAAACAGAGTTGTCTGTGGTTCGGTTCACAGTACGAACCAATAGCTCGGCTTTTCGTTCGGTTCGTGAACCAAGTTCTCCAAATGCATTCAAAGGGGGTTTCTTGGTGCCTCATAGCTAAACAAATAAAACAGTTCAATTTATTATTGATATATTTATTGGGTTCACGAACTGAATCCAAAGGCGGTTTGGAACCGTGAACCGAACCAAAAAGGATTTGCTCTCCTTTGGCTTTGCAGCCCTGGATAAAGTATACGTTATTTCAAAGAAAGTTCGACTATGTTTTTTATTTTTGAATTAAAAGAAATCCAGGCCAGATTTTCGCTATGCTAAAAATCTTAATAAAATTTACTGTCTTATGCCAGATAAAGTCAAATGCAGAGTTAATTTTTTTTTAAAAATATATATTTTTTTCATTCATTTTCTTTTATTTGTAATTGTTGTTTGATGTTGTTGTTGTTGTTGTTTGTTGTTTCTTGCTGTTTGTTGTTGCATTAGGCATTATTTTAGTTTATAAATTGTAAGGGTGAACATGGAAATGGAAATAAATGCGTGCCGATATATATGAGCTATATATATTCAATGCAAATATATATACACAAATACATGGGCACATAGCGTGTAAGGGGGGGGGGGGGGGGGGGTGCATGTGTATGTGTGCGAGTGTGTGCGTGTGTGTGTGTGTGTCGGTGCGTGCTTTGTGTGCTGTATGTGTGTGCGTGTGTGCGTGTGTGTGTGTGTTGTGCACAAAATAAATATATAAATCTTGCTAAAACACACACACACGCCCGCACACACACACAGACACACACACACACACACACACGCTAAAAATCAAATTGTGTACTAAAAACTAAGCGGCAGATCTGTAGCTGCCCATAGCTAGCCGTGAGTGTGAGCGAGAGGGAAACAGAGAGAGCGAGAGAGAGTGAGAGCGAAAGGGAGGGAGACAGTCAGAGAGTGGGAGAGTGTGTGTGTCAAATAACGGTTAATTTATATATATATTTATATATATATATATATATATATTTATATTTTAATTGCGCTTCCTCAAGGGCAAGCGACTGTTGAGTGGACGCTTGGGCTTTGGCTGCTCCTCCTCCTTTTGCTCGGATTCCTCGGCAGCGGCGTCCACCTCGGGCTCCGGCTGGGCGGACTTCAGGGGCTTGGCCAGCTTGCGACGGCTGACTGTGTTTGGGGCGAGAACAAGAAAACGGATAAGTCAACTATTTTCGGGCCGAGATTGGATTTGGTAAGAAATATAACATACGTGCTGCATTGCTCTTGTAGCTCTTGGCGGGGGCAGCTGGTGCGGGCGCTGGCGCCGCATTGCCGCCGGCGGACTCCTCCTCTTCGGCGTTGGCCTCATCGTCGGACTTCTTGGCCGGCTTGCTGGCGGGCGTTTTCTCGCTGCGATGCTTCTTGGCGTTCTGCTGGCGGCGCTTCAGCGAGTTGAGGAAATCATCGTTGGAGCGGAAGGGCCGAATGACGGGTCCCACCTTTTTGGGCGGCTCGGTTGTGGTCGTTGTGGAGCTGGCCGCTGCCTCGTCCTGCTCATCGCCATACTGGCCATGCTCACCGGCGCCGGCATCCTCATTGTATTCATCCTCCTCGGCAGCATCGTCATGTGCGGGCGCCGGCGTTGTTGTTGTCGTCGGCTTGGCCGCCTTGCCCACGGGGCGACGCAGTGCAGCGATTCTCTTCGCTGGCGATGCATTGCCAGCGGGCGCGCCCTCCTCTTGGGCTGCCACCAGTCCGTAGCACAGTGCGCAGATTATGAAAAGCAGGCAGCTGTCGATGCAAACCAAATAAAAACAAAAATCAGTTTCAGTTGGTTGAGGTTAAGTGCGCGGTTTGAGGTTATGTTCGGCAGCACTGAGTTGCAACGTATGCGAACTATTTAGTTTTGATAAGCTGCCAGAAACTTGAAGTATTTACAAATTAGTGCTTTCTTTAGTTTGATGTTATACATAGAATTTGCGGTTATGTATAAACTTTGAGGTTATGCATAAGCTTTGAGGTTATGTATGCAGCTCGTATACTTAACTGATGTCCCTAAACTGATTTAACAGCACCAAATGTTTGATTTTGATAAGTTGAGAGGTATGGCAAGTGTTTATACGAACGAACCTGCTTTAGGTTCAGGTTATGTAGAAGCTTTGAGGTTATGTATGCAGCCCGAAATGGCGTTAAACTAATTTAGCAGTGGAAAATGTTTATTAACGATACGTTTTAGAGGAATTTCAAGTGTTTCTAGAAAGGAACATGGTTTAGTTTGAGAATAATTACGTAACATTTGAAACTCTTCCATAAGGAAATTGTTTATATAAATAAAATCTCATAAAAACCGTATGCATAATTCTATTAAGCCGGCTTTGGCTGGAACTCTGAAATATGTTGCCCGACAAGCACGAGGCACACTTTCAATTGAAATTCTCCATACTCAATTAGCTGGCATCTCTAAAGACACATATGTGCATAAAGATAAATATATATATATATATATATATATATATATATATGTGCATATAGATATAGATATATATATGCATGATTTCTTTTCTGGTCTGGTTGAACGGGTTGTGCTGAGAACCTGAACCGGACTTGGCTGGTAAAAACACGTACCATACATAAATTGTGTGTGCACACACACACACACATGTGTATATATATACAGCTATATATATATGTGCATATATATTCATAAGCCATGTGCGTCTGGACACAAATAAATAAATATATTAAGATAGGCCATAAAGATATGTATGCGCCGTCTGTTGCTGCTGCTGCTGCTTCTTCTTCTTTGTCATTGTCGTTGTCTTCTTCTTCTTTTTCACGCCCGAGATGTGCTAACAATTATTAATGCTTAAAGGTCAGCTAAACGGGTTTTGTTTTTCTTTTTTTCGGACTCACTTTCGATTTTAAATTTATGCGCTTACGAATTCGATTTTGTCTTCTTCTTCTTCTTTTTATTTTTTGGTTACTTTTTTGTTGTTGTTGTTGCTATTTTTATGGATTTGTGCTGCCTTTTCGCATGCTAAACAAAAGACTTAGGCAGCGAACTTGTTTTCAAATACTTCTGGCAACAGTCGCCAGCGGCTAAGTCTAAGGCCAGAGCCTGCAGTTGGCTGTTAGTTAGACCGCCCAACCGCCGCCCACCCGCCCCCTTGCTGCAGCTGCGCCAAAAGGCAACAGGTGCTTATGCAAAAGTAACAGCAACAGCAACAACAGCAGCAACAGCAACAACAGCAACAACAACATGTGTAAACCAGTTGGCCGTTGCCAGCGCCAGAATAATTTGAAATGCGCACATGATCGGCACATGCAATTGGCTAATAACGGTAAAATGTGCAAGCCGCCAGCTCGGGCCCAAGTCAACGGCGCAGTCATGAGGGCGAGGCCCAGGCCCGCCCCAAACCCAACAACAATAACTGCTGTTGCTGTTGTTGTTTTCATTTGTAGCTGCTGTTGCCGCCGGGTTGCATCTTTTCGCATTGATTAGGGTCAACTGCGGCATGTCCGAGCGACTCTTTGCATTTCAATCGCCGCCCGCCGCACTTATGCAACATACCCATGGAAAGGTGAAAGGCGCGTCGCCTCCAGCCAGTTGCTGTTGCTGTTGTTGTGGGTGCGTGTTGCTGGCGTGCCTGGCATCATTAACTGCTGCTGCTTCTACTTTTTCTTCTTCTTCTTCTTCTTCTTCTTCTTCTTCTTGTCGCTTCTTAATCGAAATTCAAGCCAAGCGCCGTGTAGTTGCTGCAAGTCTCTGCGTACAGCCCCATGTCCATGTCTATATGACATTTGGCGTCGTTGGCTTTGCTTGAACCGGTTTTTTGGCATTTTGGGAACTGGGAAACTATTGAAACGCTCTCCGAGACAATACCCAACACACACACACATGCAATCATTTCTAGCCAAGCCCCGAAAAACAGTTTTAGCTCAGCAACAACCTGTTATATAAGCAACATTAGTTGCAAATTTATGATAAGGTAAACGTCAGCCAAGCGCCGAGAATCTTTAAGTGCAAGGCGGAACCATTCGTTTAATGATGCTGCATCATCCACATCATCAACATCATCATCATCAGAAACACCATATGCAGCCACGACTAGCAGATACCCAGGGCCATGCACATTTTCAATGTGAAGCAGCAACAAGAGGCAATCAAAAGAAACTTGGACAAGCCGAACATTAAATACCCTTTGACTGCGCTGGCTTTGCATGTTGATCAAAAATATATATACATATATACCTAATGGAATTGGAGATGCTTTCTACTGCCTGTTACAAATACATTTGATACAGTTTATGAAAGAAAACAAAACATTTTGCCATTTTTGGAACAACTTCTCCTACAGAGCTATATGATATATGATATAGTAGCATATATATGATATATGAGTTTCGCTTCATAGTTAAGATTTTCTTCATAATAAGAACTCGCTTGCGTTCAGCTCCCTTATGATATATCAGACAACAAACATGTTTCATCTATAGGTATAATAGATTTGAACAATGTCGTAAATTCCGATCAAGTATATATATATATAAGCCTTAGGGGCTGAGGAATGTCTCACAATTTCCATGACAAAATCAAATTACCCTTGAGAAGTGTATAAAAACGTAATTAAGAACAATACAAATATTTGTGGTACCAAGGCTTGAATGCTGTCATTTAATTTATTAACACTGTTTTTGAGTGTTGTGAGCCGCGAGCGCGCTCTTGAAATGCGAAGCTTGTTTTCGTGTGCATACATTAAAGTCTACAAATTATTGATTAACAAATTATGATTTATGCATTAAAATCCGATTTTATTGAGCGCTTTTTGCTTATAAATGAAAACAAAGCGAAACGATAGAAAACTGATTATTTTTAAAACTTTTTATATATATTTAAAAAGAAAAGTTCGTTCTATTAAACTGGAAAAAAACGTTTGATTTTATTGAACTATTTTTGTTTATTCAAAATCAGTTTTTTATATTAAAAAAAAATATGTATGCAGCTAAATTCTTATTGTTAATAGCCAATTACTTTTTGCTATTTTGCAACACTGTTTTTTTTTTTTGTTTAGAACAAACCGAAAATATTTGTAGAACTTGTGCCGCATTTGGTTGGGAAGAAAGCATCTGCCAAAAGTCTGCTCTGAAAGTTTTGCTGAAAAGCTAGCTTATATGTATATAGCTGATGCGCAATACAGGGTATATGGTGGGCATATCAGCAGTGAAGCCATTTGTTATTTGCGCTTCAAAAAGTGTTCGCGTGAAGAGGTCGGCCAACAAAACTTCACAATTCAGTTAAAAGTGTTTTTCTTGTTTTCAACTCAGTTTGGTTTTCGCCCTCTTTTTGGCTTGTTTCGCTTTTTATTCGCTTTTTATTCAGTTTTTATTTTGTGTTTATCACATGAGATTATGATTTGCATTTGCGGAATTAGTTCATGGCGATGGCGTCATGGGCTCAACTTTATGATGTTGTACGCCAGAAAAAAAAACGGAGACAAAAAAATCACAATAATAATAATAATAATACAATAAAGCTGAAAGGCTAATTTTGCCAATAGCCATGCCCCCAAAACGGGTCACTATGCTAATTGCCCATCTATAGTCGGAGTTGGAGTCATGCCTGGCCATATATATAAGTGTATAAATGTATATGTATATATGGGACAGCTCAAATACAATTACGAGCTTTAAAGAAAAAAACGTGCGCATTTGTTGCTGTTGTTGTTGTTGTTGTTGTTGTTGCTGTATTTACTTGGGCTGTAACTGCTGTTGTTGCTGTTGCTGCTGTTGTTGTTGTCGCTTAAGTGGGTTCAATAACGGTGCATTGTGACGGCGCAAGTACGTGTTGTGGCCAATAGTCGCAGCCAATCAGTTAGTCAAGTCAGCAAGTTCGTTGCCTGAGTCTTTTGATTTGTGTTACAGTTTCTCTATTTGACGTGCTTGTTGTTGTTGCTGCCGCTGTCGCTGCTGCTGTTAGTTGGCTTACATTGAATTTGGCTTATGAAATGCACGCAAGCACACACACACACACACGCACACACGCAGGTGTGTGTTTAACACCTTGTTGCCAATTTGACAAAGTCCTTGAAAATAACTTTAAAGAAGAAAAAAAAAACGCTTTTTTGCTGCAAAACTTTTGCCAGCAACATCCAACTACATATGATGTGTACAAGTGTGTGTGTGTGTGTGTGTGTATGTGTGTGTGTGTTTCTGTGTGTGTATTCTGGTTTGGTTTTTGGCATGCACATGATCTGATCTCTCTTATTTAAATAATATTGCATAATGCGAGCGATTTGTGCGCCAAAAATGAAATGAAACGCATGTAAAACGACAGCAGCAGCAACAACAACAACAACAGCAACAACAACAACAACAACAACATGACAAACCCCCAAAACGCCAGCGAAACTAAATTAAAATCCTGATCTTGCCGTCAAATTGGCGCTTGTTGCTGCCGTCTGCCGTCTGCTGTTGCTGGCGATATATATACATATATATATTTTTTTTGCCTCGACTGTGATTAATTCCCCCATGCGCTATGCGATTAACATACATCTTATATACACACACACACACACACACACACAAAATATGTGCATGCATGTGTGTGCGTGTCTGTCAGCTTGCATTAAGAGTGCAACCGTTAATTTATAAGACAACATCGCAGCCAAGCAGCAGCAATGTGCACAGTTTGCAGCGCTTGGTAATTAATCCAATATATACTCGCAGTTAATTTTGCCAACAGCAACATCCTGCCCGGCCAGCCGCATGGCCCCCGCGCTGCCCATGCCATTTGGAACGCCAAGCTAAGCATGTGTTGCTGGCGTGCAGACGACAATAGCGACAGCAGCAACAGCAAGCAGCAGCAGCAGCAGCAGACGGCAGCATCAGCTGGCGACCTTGAAACATTTCTTTCAATCAATGCACTGACAGCCCGTCAGACAGACAGACAGACAGACAGTTGAATGAGCCTCTTCTCACATCAAGTGGCTGGTTGCTGTTGCTCGGCGACAACTGCGATTGAAACGGCAACGGCAAAGGCAACAGCAATTGCAGCTGGGAATTGGCATTTGCCATTTCTTTGTGCCGGCAAATGCCACAAGGCAACAACAACAACAACAGCAGCAGCCACATCATGTTAATGATCATCATTGGCAACAACAACATCATCATCATCATCAGCTAAGTTAAAACGTTGGCGTGTTAAAGTTCAGTTGAGGCATTCGGTTCACAGATTTCTTGCACCAACTTTTCAAGCCAAAGTCGTGCTTGAATCATAAAAAAAAGAAACAAAAGCCTGAGACGTGAAACTAGCAAATACCCTGCAAAGGCTTTGTAAGAGATGCATAGATAGATAGATAGATAGATAGATAGATAGATAGATAGATAAATAGATAGATAGATAGATAGATAGATAGATAGATAGACAGATAGATAGAATGATAGATAATAGTCGTTAAATACATGAGCTAACTCTTATGCATGCTAAGGAACCAGGTAAAGCCAGCTAAAGCCAGGTAAAGCCAGTTAAAGCCAGATAAAGCCAGGGAAATCCAGGTTAAGCCAGTGCCAACCAACTCTTGCAACTGGGGCCAATGTGCAAAGATTATGGAGAAACTCTGAGAATAAACCTAAAATATGCTCAAATATGTGCACACCAAATTTCAGCTTCATAACTCAAGGCGCATGCTTGCCTCATTCACGCTTGCCTCTTGTCGCCTTGCTTTGCAATTAATGCAATATCTTGTATATTAGCTGCTGGCAGGCTCTAGACTTGGCAAGCCAAATTTCATGGTTCTAGCCTTAACAGTTCCCGAGTTCAATGGGTTTGGTCGGGCAAATGGAAGCGACTCGATAAACTGAGACGTGAATTCAGTGCAAAAAAAAAAAAAACAAAAAATGTTGGCAGCCCTGGCCAGCTGCCAGGCGGAGAGCAGAAACTTATTTCGACATCGGCTAATTGAATGCCTAAATTGCTTTATTAACGATCTTAGGTTTTATAATATAACATAAATATACCAAAACACGTCAGCAAATAAAACGAACAAAAAAAAACCAAATAAGCGATTTTAATAAATGCAGAAAAAACTGGATTAACAGCGCGGCAAACACCAAAAAAAAAAAAGATAAGCAAAAAAAAAATATTGGAAAAAAACCCACAAAAAGTATGTAAATTATTAAAAATATATCTCACTCACATGTTGAAGTACTTCATTTTGTGTGTGTGTGTGTGCGTTGTGTGTATATATATATATTAAAAAAACTTGAATTAAAAAAAAAAAATATTGAAAATCTTTTTCGAAAAACGCGCGAAACGTACAAAAAATTCACGACGATATTTATTTATATTTATTGAATATTTGATAAATAAACTTCTTTTTTTGTTCAACGAGCTTTAAAGACGCACAGGGTTAGACACTGAGGACTGTGGAGACTGAGGACTGTGGAGACTGTGGTGACTGTGGAGACTGTGGAGACTGAGTCTGGGGCACAACTGAGTGCTGAGTGCTTAAGCCACGATCACGATCGACTTCTAGAGGCTGACTGAACGTTACTTATGCCGTGTGCATGGAGTTAACCTACGGCCACCCAATATTTTTGTGGCTGCCAGCGACGCTTGATTTGATTTTTCTTCTTTTTCTCTCTTATTTTGTGGCCGCAGCAGGCAGCGACTGCGACGCCGGCAGCGGCGGCGGCGGCGGCGGCGGCCAACAACAGGTTGGTGTCCGCCCTAATCCGAATAACCAGCGGCTGCAACTGGGCTATAGAGGTGGGCGGGGGGCGTGTGGCGAGGGGTGTGGTTCAGCAGGGTGCGGGCGATTTGAGTTTGCCGTTGACGCAGGCTCCGCTCGTAATTATATGCAAAGAGTGCAGGAGCACTTCTGGTTTCAGTCAATTTGTCATTGCTGCCGCTGCCGCTGTCGCTGCCGCAGTCGCTGTGGACGTCAGCGCTGGCTGCGCTGCCGGCGCCAGTTGTGGCTTTTGTGCTAGCGACAGGTTTTCTTTGGCTTTCGGCAGCCGACGACGACGGCGACGAGTCTTAGGTTTGGCTTTTATTTTAGCATACCCTGTAATCGTGGTATAGACAAAAGTGGGTAGCATGCGCTTGTGCTGTTGAATGCAACGGACATAGTTTGACATGTTCTAGCATTATATATTATCATATATATTCCATATTTGTCACCCTGCTTTCCCTTAAGCCTAAGCTCATCTTCTGGTTCGAGCTACATTTGCAAGGAAATAGTTTTATTTTACTATTTTTAACAAAACTCGCTTGCTTATGCAAATTTCATAAAATCTGTGAAAAATATTGAAAATAATATCCAAATTGTAATAAATATATTCAAAAATGCATTTTTCATTTAAGTTCGTAAATATGTTTATTAAACGCTATCAAAAGTTTCTTTTAAATTCCTTTACAGCACTTGCGTGTGTCGGTCGCCTTTTCCGCTGTTATTAACTGTGTTAAACAGTGTTGGTTAACGACAGATTTTAATGAATTTCAAATTTAACAAAGTTGGTATTTAATTTGTTGGTATTTTTGTGCAGTATTTGCTGCAAACATTGTGATCTTTATAGGAAATTAATCAAATGAAATATATATAATAATATGTATATAAAGATATAAATATGTAACTTTAGCTGCGCTTAGACTCACTTACAGGGTATCTGCAGGTCATGCAGCTGCTACCATTATATTTGTTTATTTGTATTTTCTTTTGACTTCACTTTACTTATGAGCTTTATTAATTAATTTATTGATTTTGGGCCAATTGTTGTTATAAACACTTCGGCTGGTAAATCCCGACTTCGCAGACATGTAAAAAGATCAAGAAAGAAACGTCCCGATTTACATACGCCAGCCAACTATGGCCATATCAATATATATATATAGATTGATATAGATTTGTGGATGTGCATAATTTGGTAGACTCGCATGCCGCATTATGCGCCGTCGGCCTTGAACTGATTTGTATCAAAATGCTGGGCGCGGGCGAAACTTGAATGTTAATTGCGATATAATATCGATGTTGGATCTTCAAATTCATAGGGGCAGCTGTGCATAGATATCCAATCAACTTAATAATTGAACTTCTTTGAACTTCGGCTAGATGTTCTGGCCAGCTGCTGGGCCAAGTCCGGCTAATTATGTGGTCACTGCCTTCAGCTCGAAAATAACAATAATAATAAAAAATCAAATAAACACTGGGCAACTTACCTTGAACTACAAAATGTCAACGTATGCAGGGGGCGCGGTCGGGGCTGAATTGTCGGACACAAAAAGAAAAAAAAATAACAAGTATCTTATGGCTACCCTGTAAAAATGTGTAAAAAAGGCAGACAATCGAAAAGAAACAGAAACTTGTTCAATTATTAACAACATGCATTTGCATTCGAATCAAACTAGAAATCAAATATCCAAAATCTCAAATCAGAAATCAGAAATCAGAAATCAGAAATCGTATCGCATCGCATCGCATGCAAATGCAATCTGATCAAACTATTCGTCTATGCTAATCTATTATTCATACAATCTTACTATGCATTACAAGCTATTAATAATTATTATGATAAACGGCCGAGACAAAGACGAAACCCAAAACCCAACCCAGACGCGATCTTCGCGTGAAACTCTTCGTTTTGTTTTTATTATTATTATTATAGTTGGGTCCGCAGATGCAAATGTCAACGCGCAGTCGGAGTCTGTTGCAACATCGCTCAGGGGCAATCCATAAGGTTTACCAGTCCAACCTGCCCAAAACTGTCCATAAAATAAAAGAAAGAAACAAAAAAAGAAGCAAAGCAAAGTCCAGCTTAGACAATATTTTGCCCAAATTGCATACTAAAAAAAAAATCAATGTGGCCAGAACAATGTTTGAACGATGTTCTTAATTTTGTAACGAACCTATCGATTTTTGATTTGCCAATTTATTATAGGGAATCCCTACGATTTCAAAAAGGTATAATATTTCAAAATCCGACAATATTCGACGTTCCAAAACGACATAACTGCGCGGAGATATGACGTTCCAAAACGACATAACTCCAGGCGGAGATATGACGTTCCAAAACTTTTTCGATGATTTTTTTCGAATATCTTCTGTAAATATTGTCGGATTTTGAAATATTATACCTTTTTGAATTCGTAGGGATCCCTACCATAAATTGGCATTCAAAGAAATTCAAAATCGATGGGTAAGAAAAAATGATTGACCAAAAACCGATTCGTTTTCAAAATCAACCTTTTTTGATGATTTTTTGGCATATCTCGGCCAAATAATGTCAGATTTTGGAATTTTATACCATTTTGAGCTCGTAAGGATCAGTACTATCGATTGGCATCAAAAATATGAAAATCGAAAAGGTCGTTTTGAAACGACATAACTCCGCGCGGAGATATGACGTTCCAAAACGACATAACTCCGCGGGAGATATGACGTTCCAAAACGACATAACTCCAGGCGGAGATATGACGTTCCAAAACTTTTTCGATGATTTTTTTCGAATATCTTCTGTAAATATTGTCGGATTTTGAAATATTATACCTTTTTGAATTCGTAGGGATCCCTACCATAAATTGGCATTCAAAGAAATTCAAAATCGATGGGTAAGAAAAAATGATTGACCAAAAACCGATTCGTTTTCAAAATCAACCTTTTTTGATGATTTTTTGGCATATCTCGGCCAAATAATGTCAGATTTTGGAATTTTATACCATTTTGAGCTCGTAAGGATCAGTACTATCGATTGGCATCAAAAATATGAAAATCGAAAAGGTCGTTTTGAAACGACATAACTCCGCGCGGAGATATGACGTTCCAAAACGACATAACTCCGCGGGAGATATGACGTTCCAAAACGACATAACTCCAGGCGGAGATATGACGTTCCAAAACTTTTTCGATGATTTTTTTCGAATATCTTCTGTAAATATTGTCGGATTTTGAAATATTATACCTTTTTGAATTCGTAGGGATCCCTACCATAAATTGGCATTCAAAGAAATTCAAAATCGATGGGTAAGAAAAAATGATTGACCAAAAACCGATTCGTTTTCAAAATCAACCTTTTTTGATGATTTTTTGGCATATCTCGGCCAAATAATGTCAGATTTTGGAATTTTATACCATTTTGAGCTCGTAAGGATCAGTACTATCGATTGGCATCAAAAATATGAAAATCTAAAATTTGACCAAAATCGACAAAAAAGCAAGGGGTTACATCACGTTTTTTTTCAAATTCGGGGTCGGTTCAAAAATCAAAACTTTTTCGATGATTTTTTTCGAATATCTCGGGTAAATATTGTCGGATTTTGAAATATTATACCTTTTTGAATTCGTAGGGATCCCTACCAAAAATTGGCATTCAAAGAAATTCAAAATCGATGGGTAAGAAAAAATGATTGACCAAAAACCGATTCGTTTTCAAAATCAACCTTTTTTGATGATTTTTTGGCATATCTCGGCCAAATAATGTCAGATTTTGGAATTTTATACCATTTTGAGCTCGTAAGGATCAGTACTATCGATTGGCATCAAAAATATGAAAATCTAAAATTTGACCAAAATCGACAAAAAAGCAAGGGGTTACATCACGTTTTTTTTCAAATTCGGGGTCGGTTCAAAAATCAAAACTTTTTCGATGATTTTTTTCGAATATCTCGGGTAAATATTGTCGGATTTTGAAATATTATACCTTTTTGAATTCGTAGGGATCCCTACCAAAAATTGGCATTCAAAGAAATTCAAAATCGATGGGTAAGAAAAAATGATTGACCAAAAACCGATTCGTTTTCAAAATCAACCTTTTTTGATGATTTTTTGGCATATCTCGGCCAAATAATGTCAGATTTTGGAATTTTATACCATTTTGAGCTCGTAAGGATCAGTACTATCGATTGGCATCAAAAATATGAAAATCTAAAATTTGACCAAAATCGACAAAAAAGCAAGGGGTTACATCACGTTTTTTTTCAAATTCGGGGTCGGTTCAAAAATCAAAACTTTTTCGATGATTTTTTTCGAATATCTCGGGTAAATATTGTCGGATTTTGAAATATTATACCTTTTTGAATTCGTAGGGATCCCTACCAAAAATTGGCATTCAAAGAAATTCAAAATCGATGGGTAAGAAAAAATGATTGACCAAAAACCGATTCGTTTTCAAAATCAACCTTTTTTGACGATTTTTTGGCATATCTCGGCCAAATAATGT